CTCAATGGAAGCTAATTCTCTTTCTTAGTACTTCACCGACCATGGTCGCCCCTTTCGACACCCTTCCAGCAGAAGTCGTTGGGCACATCTTCAAGTTCAGCGGGGCGGACTATCAGCCTCATGTTATCCACACCATGTCGTCAGACACCAAACTCATAGAAAGTGTCACAGGGTATGACCTGCGGAATCTGGGCCAAGTTTGCAGAAGATTCGCGCGCATTGTATATCGCACCCCGAGCTTTTGGACAACGTTCAAACTAGATCTCCGCTGTTTCGTGTATCTTTGGGCGGAGGACCATCCCTTCCACGATACGGATTCCGATGATTCTGACGATCCTGAGACGTCATGGATCTATGCGTTTGACGAATATGTCTTGGCGTTGAGTGCGGCGCGCCACCTGGAACGTGCTCTGCTCCGGAGTCGACATCTACCACTCCATATCGAACTCTGGGGCAGTCATTTCATGACATTCCCGTCAGAGATCCTGGTGCCCTTGATGAAGCACTCACATCGCTGGCAGTATGCGCAATTTTCCATCGCCGGTGCAATGTTGTCACAGCTGTCGCCGATCATGGGCAACATCCCCCTCTTGGAGGAGCTGGTGCTTCACCCCTGGGATGACGACCTGCCCGAGGAGCACGAGCCCTTCTCATTCTTCTTCGACGCACCGCGTCTCCGGACCGTTCACTGCTACGCGGTCAGCTCACCGTTTCTCCCTCATCTCCCCATTAAGCAACTCGCCAAACTGCACACTGAGGCTGCGTCTTATTGTCTTGCTCATTGGGCTGACGCGGACGGGTTTATCGCACAGTCCGCACGGCTTGCGGATGGCGCGACACTGGGCATCCTATTACACACAAACCCTTATCATACACTGATAAATCACAGGCTGCCGACTGAGAGCGTCAAAATTGGCATCGAGACCTTTTCGGTGTGCCTCACCGGCTCGGACAGGTACGGCAAGCCCGCAGACATGCGCGTATTGGAAGCGCTCCTAGAATTCTTCGCGCTGCCAAAGCTCACCGAGTTCGCCATTTCCAGATCCAGCCTCACGAGTTCCGATGCCCCGTTCTTCTGGCCGCATGCCGCGGGACTTGCATTCCTGCAGCGGACGACATGGGGCTCGGTGCAAAGTCTGGATCTCACGGGAGTTCATATCACCTCGCGACAGTTGCTCGAAGTTCTGCTCGTTCTGCCGACATTATCGCGCCTGAAGATCAACGACTGGGTGGCTCCGACCTATGCGACGCGCCGCGAGCGTCACGAAGTGCCTACGCTGTTCAACGACGAGCTCCTCGTTGAGCTGAACTCAGCCCTCGTCGTGCCGGATTTAAAGACGCTCGTCGTCTCATCGAAGGGGGATTTCAGCTCTCGCGCGCTTCTGGCATTTTTGCAGGGGAGGCTTTCGAGGGAGGAAGAACCGTTTGAGATGACTATGGTGTGGCTCACTGGGTATCAGTCGCCATTGGATGCCGAGTTCCGCAGAGCAACAGGCAAGTGGGAGAATGCGCGAGTTTTGAAATGGGCTGATAGTGTGGCGGCTAAGGAAGAACCAATAATAACAAGTATTTGAGAGTAGGGTAAACAAAGACATCGCCCGAACTAGACAATAGGCATAGTCAATAACGGAGAAGGCATCGTCACTGGTCGAAGATGAGAATCAGAAGACAGTGTGGCCGAAAAAAGGAAATCACCTTCTTTTCTTCATCCTCCATGTCGTCTTGCTACCCAACACTATCCTCGAGCACCAAGCCCTTCTATACCTCAACGACAAGACCACACGGCATGCAGCAGGTTGATTCGGGCGTCTAAATGCGATGACGTGGCCGGCTGGTCCAGAATCGCAATCAGTTGGACTGCGAAAGGTGGACACAAGAGGACAAAGCTGTGGCAAAAGCTACTTGTGTGCTTTTGGACCATCTGAATGGTGCGTGTGGGCGTCTCTTTCCTATCTAATACTAATCTCCCTCATCCTAGTAGGGCCTCTTCTTGATATCGAATGCCTCCATCGCCCTTAACACTGCTCGCCAAAGGCTCCTCCTTGTGTATACAGCCTCCACTACGGCAGTAGAGGGACGTGTATAGCCCCGCCGGGCGTATGCTTGGGCGAGTTTGCTTGGGTTATTCGCGGACGACCGCGACAGGGTCAGTGCATTTGGTGCAATGTGCCCCACGTTCCTCAAGTGGATCTACGGTGCTCTAAGACGTTGAATGAGAGGATCCTATCTAGTCAGGTGCGTTTTCATGGCGTCCTGTTGCTCCTGGTTCTCATTTCTTGTAACACTCTTCAGACCAGCGCTGATTCTGCCTGGTTTGAAACTCGTTTCGAGCCCAAATCACATAGGAACTCCTCGAACAGTGTCCTTTTTCCATGCGGGCTGCACGGAGAGCACCGCAGGCCCGTGGGCTGTGTGTTTTCTGCTAACGATATCGATAACACCACCCTGCAAGTCTGCCCCCCGCAGAAGCCTTTCGCCTTCGAGAAACAACCTCCCCGACATCCATTCACACCCCTTCATTGTCACCCGCCAATTCCAAGCGATTCTACGGCTCCCTTCCTACACCGACTTTTCCCTTCCTCCTCCCCCATCACCCCCGTTTTACAACTCCTTCTCAAGCCTGTCAATGGCCCGGAGAGTCTGTAAGCCAAACCAAGACACATATTTGGCCCTATTCATGCTACTTCCGCCCAACCGCGAGACTGGATATGCCGTCGACGACCGTTTGGGCGTTTCGACGTTTCACCTACTATCGATCAGCTTGTCAGCCATCTCGCAACTTGCTCTTCTGGAGCTCCAACCCCCTCATTTTGCTGCTATTGCGGCCATCATGTCGTCTAAATGCGCCACGAGAAGTGCCCCGTCGAGTCAAAATTGTTCCATGTCGAAACATCGTTACCAGGAAGATAACCTTCGCCGTTATTGGTCTTGCGACCCTATATGGAGCTACTTGTGGCGCGATTTAGGCTGCATCAGGAGGAGGACCGGTATAAGTTGGCTGGGATGATGGATGGACGAGATTCGGTGGATTGTCCCTGAAGCAGGTCAACACATTTGGTGGGAAGTTACTTGGTGGATATTCGATCCGTAGCGATGTTGGAGAGGCATTTTGTGAAGTGCGAGGTGTGTTCGTATCGCGTTTTGCTGATCTTCATCCTGATTACTCTTCAGACGTGGCGAATGATTGTGACATTGTCTTACTTCTTTCGGCCACAAACGCCATCGTAACCCCCCGCAAACGGACACTACTTCTGTCACCCACCAGCAGCGTACAATATGGACTGTGGTTGTTTCGTCGCAGTCAATATCATCAACGCCATCCTGCATGTCTTCTCGCTTCGGAAGCTTTTCACCTTCCGCTAACGACTTCCCCGACACCCATTTAACTCCCTTCATTGTCCCCCGCCGTTGCCGAAGGACTCTGCGGCTGCATTGCTGCAACGACTTTGCCTGTCCTCCTCTCCCATTACGCCTGTTTTGCGAAACCCTCCCAAGGCTCTGGACGGTCTCCAGCGCTCGGCTGCCGAATACCAACGCTTATGCCATCTCATTCATTTCGTTTCCGCCTGATAGCGGCGCCGGGTTGGGGGTTCCTCCGGCGTTTCGTGTCGTTGCACGTATCGAGAATACCAATCAATCTCCCCGTCAGCAGTGGGGCAAATTGGTCCCGGAGGTGCTCAAAGTCGCATCAGGCATGCTATTGCTACCAGTACGAGGTCTGAATTCAACGCAGGAGGTTCTTTTGCAAAGCAATCCCGTTGGTTCCTCGTTAGAAGTTGTTGTTGGGAAGTCATCCTTGGCCAGCAACAATCTCCCGAGCATGCGGGATTGTTACCGTTTAACCTCTTATACTGTGCTACGACAACTCCTTGGATGCCCCTCCGATATCGCAATTTGTCCGTTTTCTACACATATGTGCATTCCACTCGTGTCGGCTCTTCTCCATCCCCGCACACCATTTCCCCGCCTTGATTCAACATCATATCATCACCGCCGCCACCTCGCTTCGTCCTTCTCGACCTTGATACCAATTTGCCCTTCGTCCTCCCGGTCGCCTCAGCCAAACGCGTTTTCGCAGTACAACATGGATCCCTCGGTATTTCGGTGCAGACAGAACCTTTAGTCAGAACATCTCCCGCAATTCCCTTCCACTACTTTGCGCATTTCGCCACTCTGCTCCCCTCCTTCGCCGGCTTTCCGGTCACGTGCCATACCGAATTTGTGCCTTGGAAAACTTTTGTGTCTCGTCGCCGATGGGTTTTAAACTTTGAGGACTGGACCATAATGCGTGTACGATGGGCTTTATGATGTCCCCGACCATATTTGGGCCTACATTGTGCTTTGCGAACCCATCGCCGTCCTTAAAGCGAGGATTCACATTGTCATCTTGACGACCAACTCCGATACAACTCTGGCGGGCTTTCGAGGGCCCTTGTATTGTGTTCAAGATACTAAGATATTTTCGCCATTCGTAACCCGAGTTGAACCTCGACGTTTGTCTCGCGCTTCATCCTTCTTGCCATTTGGTTTCTGTTTTTGCATCTTCTCTTTACGGACCCTACCTCCTGACATACCTCATGCCTGGGCATATTTGCATTGCTTTCTCCTCCATATCTTCGTTATATCGTACCGATATGTATTTCCCCCTCCCGACTACTTGATTGTTGCTTTACGTCGACTTGTGTACCGACATTTCTTGTACCAAGTACCCTTTTTGCAAATACAAGTGAGTGATTCGAATTCAAGGCCAAAACATGGATTGTCTTTTGCTTCCAGTAGCACGAAGCACGGACAACATAAAGGAAGTAAAAATCTAAGGGCAAGAAATCAGATACCCTCCGCGATATCGACATGATGCAAAAAGCAATTTCGATTCCAAGTAATCTGTAATCAACAAATTTACACACAACGGCCGACATTCATAACATTCATGCTTTCTCGGGGCTCTTACTCTCCTCACCAGTAGTCCCGTTCTTTTCGGCGTCTTGCGGCAGTAGTTTCTACGCGACTGCAGCACCGATAGCGGCGCCAGCCGCAGTAAGCATCGGCATTGCACCACTGAATGCCGCCCCACCTGCGCCGATTGATTGGGCAATCGCGAAGGCGGACCCACTTGTGACTGCCCCGCCATAGAAAACGGACTGGATGGCAGCTGCAAGCGAACCTTGATCTCGTCAGGCAAAGATTGAGTATTCGAGGAAAAAACATACCTGCAACGACACCGCCGGCGCCGAACCCAATCACGTTGAGCGTGCTAACGAGAGCTACGGGAACCAGGATTGGGGCGGCCACAATGAGCCCTGCAGTAGCAGCAGCAGCAGCAGCGGTAGCGACAGCAGCAGCGGTAGCGGTAGCAGCGGCAGTAGCGGCAGTAGCGGCAGTAGCGGCAATAGGGTGTTCGTCGAAGAAGCGACGGGGTTTGCCTACTGGCTTTTCGTTTTCGGCAGCTGGATGGGATGAACCTGCATTCTGATTCAAGTTGGCGGAACTTTCTCCATCTCCATCTGACTTTTGGTCATTAGGCGGGGCAGCATCTGTCGCTGACGAGTAAACGCAACACGCAGTCTCGTTTGGCAAATTAGAAACCGCACCATGCGTCGTCTGAGTCACAAAACTACGGACCGTCTCCACCAAGGTCTCCCAGTCCAATACATGCAGCACCTCAATCTGACATCCAGAGATTTGTGAGATCTCTGCCTTGAAGTCTTGCGAGAGGAAGGAGAGGGCGATGAGCGCCCATTGCGCGCGGGGGGCACCGTGGGTCTCCAGATGCGCCGTTATATCTTCCAGCCACTGCACTGCCTTCGTTTTGTCGACTCCGTCGTAGGTCCACATCTGGATGAATCCTCCAGTCGGATACGGACCCGGTGGCGGACTCGGAGGCGACTTTGGTATCATGGATAATGATGATGGATTAGCGAGGTGGTGGGTGGGCAAGAAGCGAGGCTGTTACAGGCAGCTACGAGTCATATCAAGCTCAACGTTGACCGCGGGCGCAGATATCGCGGGTATTGCGGTGATCGTTTCGAAGCCGGCAGAGAGCGGCTGGCAGGTCAGTGAGAGAAGGAAGTAAGGTGTGAGCAGCGGTGAACTTGAGCATCCGGGAGAGTGGGAAGGCTAAGTAGTCTTGCGCCACTGTCAGCACTCCTGCGATTTCCTTTGAAGCGGACAAATCGGATAAGTAGAATGTACGGAAACGAGGGGTGAAGACTCTCACCTGCAGCTGTGGCCATGACTTGTTAAATCTCACCCGCTTGGCTGCAACATAGTCCTTGCGGCGGTGCTCATTGTCGAGGGAGTGAGGAAGAGGAAGAAGCAAGACGCATGGGTCACTGCGCTTACGTGTGTGATGCACTGCCTCCGGCCCGGCCCTTGCCGTACTCACTGACTTGTTACTTACTTCTCGATCTACTTGTGGCTCCAATAACAGGCGCGTCCAGGTAGAGAAGGAAATCTGCGAGCTGCTATCCGTGCTAACATGTGTGTTGTTGGGAATCACCTCCACTGAGCTCTGGCTATTGACGTCAACATCACGCCGAACGCGCTGATCGGGTTTCGGCCGAAGCCTCTTGACTTTTGACCACCACCACCAATTTCGGTCCGTGCTAACTGGAGGCGCGCGGTTAATGGTGCCACCCGATTCTGGTCTTCTCCGCTCCGGACATACTGTCGCAACCCGGCGCTCGCACCGTGACCCTTTGCCTTAATTTGGAGCACCGCCGCACCAATTACAGGAAATACATACCCGCGTTCTCACCAATATCTCAATCTATCTCCTGGCGCTGATTTTCTCTGGCTTGGCGATGGGTATCGGCGACAACTCTCGAGTCCTCGACCAGCAAAAAGGAAAAACTGATGCTTACCTTGTGGCAACAGGCAGACAAGCGGACACTGGCAGATGATACGCCCACAGCGATTCGCTTTATCAGCGCGCAATTCCTGTGTGCGCGCCTAAACAATAGGTATATAGGTCGTTAGCACCGTTATGGCGGACTCTCGCTTAACTTTTCCCCATCCCTTGTCGTCTGCTTACCCTCGTTCGAGTGACATTCTCTTCACGTTATGCGCTGCTTCTCTACTCTCTCTTCTGCCGCCCTTGTCCTTCTAGCTGCTGCTCAAACAGGTATGCCTCTGTTTTTCCTCCCGCACAGTCGACTAACATCTCCTCCCAGCGCTCGCCACGCCCCAGCCTCTCCCGCTGGACAGCCTCACACTCCACTTGCGGAGCAAGACCGACGGCGAGCCCGACATCGTCCCGCAGTGTGCGACGACATGCAACCAGCTGCAGGACACACTGCTCGTGAGTTATCCCTTTCAAAAGTCAAGCTCTCGTCGAGTAATAATGCGTCCAGAACACCACGTCGCCCGCCGCTCTCTGCTCGCAATCGGTGATGAGCATGTTTGAGACGTGCTTCGACTGCGAGGTCGGCGCGGGGCGCGGCCACGGCGGACAGCCTCCAGTCACAGGTCAACGGTGCGTCTACGCCCGGCCCGCACTCGCGGCACCACTCTGATTATTGTGTCTTTATGCCAGAATTCGTCGCGGCGTGCAACCTCGCGAAGCTACCCGTGAAAAACTTCACTGTGAAGGGGTCGAAGAAGAACGGGGCACCACAGGGCGCGCAGGTGCCGGCCATGATGCTGGCGGTGTCGGGCGTCCTTGCGGCGGGATTGGGCGTCGCTGGCGTGTTATTCTAATATTTTGGGATATTGATTTCTTTTTGGAATATAGTAATCTGATCTATTTTCAATGAGCTGGGCGAACTAAGGGCAATTCGAAAGCAAGACAATCGTTGTTCGTGTTCGATTCAAGTCAAGTAATTTTTGGGTTATATTCTGACCGTGATCATGAAGGCTAAGGTGCGATAGCACAGTTTGGATATGTCTCGTTGCTGTTCATTCGGGAGTGATTCTTCGTGCTGGAAAAAACATAGCGTATGTATTACTGTATGTGACAGCCCCAGCCCTCGCTACGAGTAGTTGAATCCACATCATGACAGATTTCTGGCATTGAATGAGTGCAACGAGGGGATATCAAAGACGATCACGCACGAGTGAACACAGTCATAAACAGGTCCTCGACCCCACTCCCGTCCAGCGCACTTGTTTCGGCAAACACCATATTACAGCGTGCAGCCAGTGCAGCGCCTTCCTCGGTGGAGACTTCCCGCTCGGCTTCGCGGTCGGTCTTGTTCCCGACGAGGTAGAGGCGCATTGGTATCGGGGACGGGGGCAGATATTCCGCCTGGACACGGGATATCTCTCCAAGCCATCTATCTTCGATTTGGGAGAAGGTGTGGCGCTGACAGACGTCGTAAACGATGCAGACGCTCGACGTGTAATAGTACAAGCTGTGAACAAGCGGATGAGTATAGTAGACGAATGTGTCCGTACATTGAAGCTGGGCAGCGCACCTGGGCACGTGAAATCTCCCCACGCTAAGGAAGGATGGTTTAATGAGAGCAATAGCGGGTGTTGGATGCACCAACCATGTGGGGCGGGTGAATATCTGAGCATTTATGTGCTTCCCCTCAATGTCCAGGGGCCGCATTGTGCAGCCGACATCCCGATGGGCGGGGTCAAAAACGTTTTCGGTGAAGCGCCGCATGACTGCATCCCGAACGGTTGAGTGGGTGAACTCAATGGAAAGAATGTACGCGACTCACGGGATCTGTAGAGCGGGTGCTCTTGTTAATAACTATTGCCGGGGCTGCGGCTGGACCCACTCCTTTCCAGTCCGGGCGTCGCCGACGAGAAGGATCTGAAGCCGATAAGGCATAAGAGATAGTTCCATGCACGAAACACATACCTTGATATTGAGTCTCGTTTGCTCTTGGGAGGACATGACGGAGAGTGAGATGAGGGGAAGCAGAAAGGAGGCGGGGATGTGACTGACCAGTGACGCCGATTTGTCAGAGCGCATACGCAAGATTGCATTTGAAAGCCTAAGTCTACGAGTACCGATTTATGGGAAACTCAGCAAGAAGATTTAGCAACATTCGACCAAGATAGGCTACCAGTGCAGCTTGACTCGGAAGAGCTTGAGGCGGTCGTTGGTGCAGCAGGTAGACAGTAACCCAGCGAAGATGAGGGATCTTATGTTGGGAGTAGTTCAGATCTACGAATGCGCCGCTGGTGGGTGGCCGCGCACGAGGGATGGTGACAATCGGGAACAACCATCGCCTGGCCGAAAAAGGAAAACGTCATCTTGTTCTTTTCCTCCATGCGACCGCCATGTCCGCCGTCTGGTTTACCAGCGTGCGGCACACAGGCCGCTGTTCTTCGTCACATCCCTCGTAGACACTCCGTATGAACGGGCGTGTACAGAGCTCGGAGGCCGATGACGTGGCGCGTTTGACTGGGAAGACGACGACGACAAGCAGGCAACGTGGGGAAGAGTTATATCATTGAGGGGAGTTATGCTAGGGCCTTTTAGAAGATGTTGGGAGACTTTGGCGGGCTTCACGGTGAGTTATACACTGGCTAGTGTTGATCCATACTCACCTTCATTGCCCTTTGCAGTTTAAGCCTCGCTCGGATTCCACCTCGACGCGCGGGTTATCTTTCCGTATACCCCCCTCAATTGTATCTTCAAGCATTGCCTCATACAGACGGTGGCAGCCCGCAAGGCCGGGACTATCGTTGTCGCTTGGACGCCCACGACCGCCTCAGACAGTGCAGCGCGTTTGGCTAAAGACGCATACTTATGCGCCTTCGACGTGGATGTCGACCTTGGGGCGACTCTATGCAATGGTGTAGGATTCAAGGCGCGTTCTTCGGCCAACTTTTTGGAATTGTTAGGCTAATTTCCTGCAGAATTCGCAAAAGCCGGCATTATCGCCCGATTCTCCATCCTCTTTCTTCCCCAAACCGTCCTCTCCCTTCTTGGACTCCGATACGCGTCGTCTTCGATAGTTATATGCAGGCACGACACTGTTGTCGTTGCTTTTCGGCGAATATGGTGGCCAAACACCACATGTTGCATAACTCCACTCCGCGTTCTACACCACAAAGAAAGGCTTACCGCGCATCCTCTCATATCCCTATATCACCCTCCGCTGCTCTGAAGGGAATCCACCGCATCATTCTCGACTTCGCCAATGCGGTCCTCCTCCCGCATCTCATAACGTCATTCGTGGCTATTTTCTGGCCGCGAAAACATGCTCCTCGTGCATTAAAGGTCCTCGTCTCCTGCTAGAACAGCATTTGGTCCCCGAAAAACCGCCTCCGCCACTTTGTTGTCCACGAGGCGCCGGGGCCCTGATACGCTTTCGTCGTCGCCCACAGCCTTTTAGCAAACCACAACTTTCCCGACCCTCCTTATCCCTCCAACACGACATTTTACTCTGGGCTCATTTCGCGGCTCCCTTCTCAAGCTCGTCTTCCCCTCCTCAGCTCCTGCGTTCTGTCAAACCTTTTCGCCATGTTTCTGCTCTTGCACGTTAAATCGGGTTGGAGGAAGACATTAGCACTCTGCAGCACTGATGCTAGATCTTAACGCCGCCAATGTGGACCCCAGATGTCGCAGAGAACCACCATAGACACATATCGCTTTTTCCCCGCCTTCTTGACTTTTTGCCTCTCACACAACAACTTTCCCAATGACGATTCACATTACTGGACCAGGCGCTTTTACCCCGGCACCATTCGATGGGCTTGTTCTCGACATCTTTCCTCCCTTCCTCGACATATGGCTCCTGTCCACCTTCCTCTCGTCCGCCTCCTCGTTAGGACACCATCACGCGATACAGGGCGCTCTTATACTCAAGATAAACACTCAAATGCGCACAAACCTGTTCCTTTCCGTCTTTCGACGGCCATATGGCGACCGAATACGAATTCGCCCAGGAAGCCTTTCGAGCGCAAACAAACGACCTCCCCGACATCAAACGGTGCTCTTCTATCGCGCGCACTTGTCCTGTGTTGGCCCCATTCGAGTCTCTGGATTCCCTGCCTCCTCCCCACCGCCATATCACATCATTCTGCGCGATTTTTACCTCCAAACTCTGGGTCGCGCATGCTCTGTGTCACCGACACGCAGAGTAATTATGTCTGGAGCAGCAATTAGTGTGCTTACATGTGGGGAAAAAGTCAAATATGTTGTCCAGGACCGATAGCGGATACGGTCTTGGTAGCGTTTTGCCAGCTTGAAGAAGCCGTGGTCCGACGCTTCCAACGATATCGGGGCGCGATGCTATCTCAGACGATGAAGGTTCTCTGGATTGACATGGATTTGAGGGGGAGAGTGGGTTTTGGATGTCTCCTTTGGGGCTGACTGTTACTTGAAGCGAATTGGCCTCTAGTCGAACATATATACCTTACGGTACCGAGTCTCCTTATACCCATGCCTCTACCCCATACATATCTCTAACGATACTAGATGGCGACTATCTACATATTCATTCCGGTCTCAGGCTTACACGACTTATTTCGGCTGGTTTTGCCAGAACGCTTTACATATCATTCCCTTGTCCTGGACACGTACAAAGTACTACTATACGGCCCTCCTCCTTGTAGTTTAGATGCGGACCGTGTCCATGGGCAATTTGAGACACTGCTCGCTTTTCAAGACAGTCGAAGATGAATAGATTACCGCAATCGATATCCCTTCGATGGCGAATGCGACGGCGAGCCCAACATTGTCCCGCAGGTGCGCGACTCCAGTCCATGCAACCAGCTGTACGCGTGTGCCCCGAGCTCTCTCTCTCTCTGTCAACGTGAAGATTGGGCATTCTTGATGCTGGTGTCTAATATTCAGAGATATTGGGTAGTCTAATGAGCTCGCCCAACCAGGGCTACTTGCGCAAAAACACTTTTGCGAGTTGACTGGCTGTTGGGTTGCATCCTGACCGTGACGGTACATTAGCACGATTTTTCTACGGCCTTTCGCTTCGGGCAAATTCTGTGATTTGGCATGGTGGAAAACATCGTGTGTATATTACTGAATCTGACAGCCTGAGCCCCAGCTACTAGCAGGAGTTGGATCGGCGTCATGACAGATTTCTAGCATCCAGTTAGGGCAGCCGGGGATAGTAAAGGCGACAACGAACGAGTGAACACAGTCATAAACAGGTCCTCGACCCCACTCCCGTCCAGTGCACTCGTTTCGGCAAACGCTATATTACAGCGCGCGGCCAGCTCGGCGCCTTCTTCGGTGGAGACTTCCCGCTCGGCTTTGCGGTCGGTCTTAGTCCCGACGAGGTAGAGGCGCACTGGTATCGGGGACGGGGGCAGTTCTTCTGTCAGGACGTGCGATACCTCTCGAACCCATCTGTCGACTTGGGAGAAGGTGCGGCGCTGGGAGACGTCGTAGGTGAAGCAGAAGCCTGAGGCTTGGCGATAGAAGCTGTTGACGATGAGTACATGCCAGTGTGTATGCTTGCGCCAAGCTGGACAGCGCACTTGGCCACGATAAATCTTGCCAAACTAAGGAGAGATGGGTGAATGAGGCGAGATGGAAAGCACCACGCACACGGGACGAATGAATATCTGGGCATTTATGCGCTTCCCGTCGATGTCCAGGTGCCGGAATGCGGAGTGTTGAATCCGATGCACGGGGTCACGGTCGAATGTGTTTTCTGCGAAGCGGCGCATAACTGCAGCCCGAATAGTTAACGCTGATGAACTGCGCGGAGACGAGTATGCGACGTACGGGACCTGTATAGTGAGGGCTGTCGTTAATCCCGGTTGTCGGGCTGCAGGAGGAGGACCTACACTTTTCCGGTACCATCGTCGCCCACGAGGATGATCTGCAGGCAATAAGGCACAGAAAACAACACCATGTACAAGACACATACATTGATATTCTTTCTTTTTGGCTCTTGATCATGAGAGGACATGACGAGTGAGATTATGAGGGGAAGCAGAAAGGAGGCGGGATGTGACTCTGACCAGTGACGCCGATTTGTCAGAGAGCATGGCGAAACACTCGAGATTGTATTTGAAAGCCAGAGTACGCGAGCACTAATGAGCCCCAGCGAGAAGGTCCAGCAACAGTTGAGCAAGATGGGCCGCCACTGCAGCTTGAAGCAACAGCTTGCGGCGGTCGTTGGTGAAGCAGGACGACACTGACCCAGCGAAGGGCAAAGATAAGGTATGCTATGCGGGGAGCCAGTTCAGATCTATGGATGCGCCGTTGTTAGTGCCCGCGCACGAGGAATAGTGGCAATCGGGAACAACCATCGCGTAGCCGAAAAAGGAAATCGGCATCTTGACCTTTTCCTCAATACTTATCGTCCGCCCAATGCACCCACATGCGGCTCGCTGGCAGCTCTTTTCCGCTGCATCCTTCGCACACAACCGCTATGAACGCGCCTGTACAGGGCCTCAAACTCAATGACGTGGCACCGCTGCCGGCTAGGACGACGACAAAAAGAGCAGGTCGATTGGGCTGGGCGGGATAGAGAGATACTGCTGAGGGTATCGTGCTGGGACCTCTGGCTTATATCCAAAGATTGCGATGGGCCTCACGGTGAGTAATGAGCTGGCTGGTCCTGGGCCATACTTACTTGGATTGCTTTTCGCAGGCAAGCGTTTCTCAGACTTCGACCTCCGGAAAGCTGCTCTCTGTGTCTCCCACCTCAAATACATACTCAACCATACCCCATATCGACGGCGGTATTCCTGCAGGACCGAAACTCTGTCGTTTGCACTTGGACGACCACGACCGCCCCAAAAAGTGCAGCGCGTTTGGTCGAGGAGGTGTATACGTATCTGTCTTTTAAACAGACGTAGGCCGCGGACGACCCTACACAATAATTGTTTAGGATCCAAGGTGCGTTCCTGGGCCATCTTTACCGAATTACCCAACTCATTTCTTGCAGACCGTCCTAAATGCGGCACCAGCGCCTCGTTCCATCCTCTTCGTGATTTTTCCCCAAACCGGTCCTCTCCCCTCTCCGACTTGGATACGTGCCTTGTTCGACGGGCAAATGCAGATAGGACACCGTTGCCGTTGCCTTGTCGCCGAATATGGTGGCAGACACCACACTTGGCAAAATCCCACTCAGTCGCGTTTTAAAACCAGAATAATGGATTCCCGCACATCCCTTCACATCTATTTCTCACCCGCAGCCGCTCGCGAGCGCCTCGATGACCTCATTCCCAATTTCGCTAATGCGCTCCCCCCTCCCCCGTCCCGTCATGCGCTCCGGAACCATTTTCTGGCCGCCAAAGCGTGTCCCTCGTATCCTGCACGTATTTCCCTTCCAAGGGAACGATATACGGTCCACGAAAAACTGCCTCCGCCACTTTGTCGTCCATAGTGTGGTGGGACAGCGGGTATACTTTGCTCATCGCCCATCGCCATTTTCCACGCAAACCATGACCTCCCCAACAGTTATTCAGCTGTATCCACCATGCCAATTTGCTCTGGGCCCATTTCGCTACTCCCTGCTCGAGCTCGTCATCCCCTTCGTCGGCCTCTTCATTCGGTCAAACGTTTCGCGCCTTGTTTCTCCTCTTGGATGACAAAGCAGGATGGAGGAAGACATTGGCTCTTTGGAGCACCAATATCGGATCTTAACGCCGCCAATTTGGACCGTAGATCTCGCGGAAAACTACCATATAATGCGTATTATCTCCTGCGCGGTCTTTACCTCTCGCGTCTTCACCAACGACTTTCCCGAAAACCTTTTAACTCACTAAATCGCGCGATTTTGTCCCGCCACGATTTCACGACCTCGTTCTCGATATTGTTCCTCCCTTCCTCGACATAATGGTCCGGTCCACTTTTCGCACCTCTGCGTCTGTGAGAGGGCATCACAACACGATATTGGAAGCTCATATGCTCAAGATGGACATGAAAGCGCGCACCAATCCATTTCATTCATCCTTTTGACCGCCACGTCGACCGAATACAAATTTTCTTAGGAAACCTTTCGAGCACAAACAAACGACCTCCCCGACATCGAACAGCGCCCTCTTATCCTACGTGCCTGTCTTGGGACGGTTCTGTTGGCAAATTTCGAATCTCCAGATTCCCTTCCTCCTTCCCCTTGATATCTCGCCATATCCTGCGCTCTTTCTGTTTTCAAACATTTTCTCGCTCATTTTTCGTGTCATTGACGCGTGGATTAACAAGACTCATTGTTGTTACGTCGCTTCGTTAATCACTCCGCCGGTAGAAGCAAACTGGCCTCCCTGCCCATCTTCGCTCTTCATCCACCATTACCATCAACTTCTCCAACCGCAATACCCCGCTATATCCCCCGCTAGAGTCCACGAGCGATAGCAATTTGCCTCTCGGACCAGGCGACGAGAGTTGTCTTGGATCGTTTTCGCGACCTGTGCTCTATGTGGTGAAAAAACCAGATACATCGTCTGCGACCAATATTAGAACGGATGCGGGCTTGGTGTAGCGTTTTGCCAGCTTGACAAGGCCGTGTTGCGACGGTTCCAACAATATGGCGGTGGTGACGAATGCGGAACATATATACCTTACGGTTCTTCCTTATACCCATGCCTCTACCCCATACTTATATCCGTTTCTGCTTCTGCTCCAATATCTGGCGTCCACATGTCATTCTCCTATCCTTGACACGTGCAAAATACAGAACAGTCCTCCTTATAGTCTCGATGTGGGACGTGTCCGTGGGCACTGGAAGAGAATCTGCACATTCATTCACGACACGGCTAAACCCGCTGATACTGCGTTGTCGTTGCGTTGAGGTTGTGGGACGGCTTGTCCTTGAAGTTGACGGCTAAGAACAACCTGAAGACCTTCGGATTTTTCATAACCTGGCAGAAAATATCGATCCGGACCAGGTGAGTTGAAGAGTCAGGTCTGCACACATCCGTTGAAACTTGGAAGAAAGACAGGAAACGATGGAAGGCGCCAGGACTGGGTGAATACGAATCATTTGTGAATCATAGAAGGTGTCCGACACTCAGTGACGGGTCACGGCACGTGCCACTTATGACTCGACACGAAAAGGGGCAGTCCTTCTTTACCTCGACTACAACAATGGCTGAAGCGCACCTCTCTGCGCTGCGCGAATCTATGAAGCAGTCTACGCCGTGGACGTGCGGTGTGCTTGATGTCCGGCCCGAGGACTTGGCGCTGTTCTACAAGCAGACTGCCAGCAATGAACGGTGGGCTTGTGCGTTGCAGCTGCTCCGACGTTGACGATTTCTGAAGACTGGCCGCGACGATGCTCAACTTTGCAGAGGCAACTGAGGCGCAGCTGCAAGACCTCGCTGCCGCGTGTGAGCCCGCGACATTTGGGCTGGGGACAGAAGACGTGCTTGACGAGGGCTACCGCAAGGCGGGGAAACTCGACTGCGGCAACTTCGCTGCGTCGCTGGATATTGGGACGCTTAATATTCTCGATGAAATCATGCCGGATTTGCTCGAAGGACGCGATGACGCGGTTATCAGGGCGGAGCTGTATAAGCTGAATGTGTATGGTGAGTTTGATACTTGAATCTTCTGCCTTCTATTGAACGTTCTCCAGGCCCTGGCTCTTTCTTCAAGTCTCATAAGGACACGCCCCGTGGAAAAAGCATGGTCGGCTCGCTCGTCATTGTTCTCCCCACAGAGCATCAAGGCGGACAATTAAACTTATCACACGGCCAGAACTCGTTCACGTTTGACTCTGCAATCCAACTTGCGGGTAAAAACGGCTCAATCGCATACATCGCCTTCTTCAGCGATGTCACCCATGCTGTCGAGCCCGTTATCGCTGGTCATCGGGTCACACTCACCTACAATCTTCTCCTTTCACTCAAATCGTCCTCGCATGATCTGAATACCGTGAAAAGACAGCCATCGTCTGAGGCTGAAGTCGCCTGCCAGACGGCCTTGGCTGCGCTGCTTGCCGACACCGCTTTCCTGCCCGAAGGCGGTATGCTTGGCTTTAACCTCGAGCACGAGTACCCCGTCCCACGCACAATTTCCGACCCACTGGCAAACACCATCGGCCACGTGCTGTCTATGCTCAAGGGGGCGGATGCGCGGATCCAGCGTGCGGCTTCCCGGGCCGGGCTAAAGACGACGCTCAAGTTAGTGTACACCACACCTAGCGACATGGACTACGATGGGGGGTGAGGGCGTACGCATGGCGCTGGACGGCGTGCTCGACCTACGAAAGATTTGGGGGGCGGAGGAGGACTCAAGGGAGGTCGAAGACGAGCTTAGACGCACACGGGCCAGCCGCTCGTGCGCTCAAACGCGGCAGGCAGACAGGCAAGTGCGCAGCTGCATGCGGACGAGCACCTGGTGTCAGTATATTGGGTGACGGAGCCCCAACCTGAAGACGAGAGGAATAGGGCAGAGTCGGCGTATATCGCGATGGGGAATGAGCCGGTGTTGGACCATATGTATGGGCAGGCGGTACTTCTCGTGGAGATACCGGGTGCAAAGGATCCGGAGCGCCGGGCATAGACTTGGACCAGATATTTATTGCTAGGGTTAGCCTCCTAAGTATCACTAAGAGCGCAATTGCGTTGATAATATATATATTTTCTTCGAAAACTTGCGTATCCCTAGTAAGCGACTTCAGGTGGTTGTTTCTCTAGGGTGTACCAAGCCAAGATTGTCAGACTCAGAATCTCTAGTGTCTTGCAAATTTCAGGCTAAAAGTATGCATGTCCAGCTATAATTTACGCCGATTTCTAGAATATGGCGAAGCAATCCGAGGGCGCATTTGAAAGCCAGAGTATGCGAGCACCAATTCATGAGCTCCCAGTGAGAAGGCCGGGCAAGATGGGCTACCACTATTGCTTGGAGTAACAGCGTGAGGAGGTCGTCGGCACTGGAGGTGTGCAGTCGTCCAGTGAAGATGAAATATCTAGGCAATCGGGAACAACCATCGCCTGGCCGAAAAAGGAAATACCATCTTGTCCTTTTCCTCCATGTCGTTTGATACACCCATTTGCGGCGCGCAGGCCGCCGTTCTTCATCGCATCCCTTGGGGGTATGCCATACGACTGGGCGTGTACAGAGCTTGAAGGCCGACTACATGGCACGTTTGACTGGGTCTGGAAAGACAGCGACGACACGCGGGTCGACTGGGCGGAGTGGGGCAGAGATATATCGTCGAGGGAGTTGTGCTGTGGCCCTCTGGATGGCATTGGGTCACTTGAGTGGGATTCACGGTGAGTTAGGAACTAGCTGGTCTTGACTCGTACTCACCCACATTATTTTCGCAGGCAAAGCTTGTTCTTGGACTTCCACCGGGTTATCCTGGTGTACATATACGCCTTGAATTGCGTCTTCAAGCATGCCCCTATATCGATGGTGGGCCCCTGCAAGATCTTGACTTTATCTCTTGTGCTGGGACGACCACGAACGATTGAGAAAGCATAGCACGTTTGGCTAAGGACGCATATGCGCCCTCGAAGTGGATGGACAACTTCGGGCGACTATATGCAACGTTATAGATGATCCAAGGTGCGTTCTTGGGCTAGGTTTTTTGAATTCTCGAGCTCATTTCCTGCAGAATTGGCGACAGGCACCCTAGGGCCATATCCTTCGTTCTTTTCTTCCCAGAATCGTCATCTCCCCTTTCCGACATCGACATTCATGCACATTCGACTATTCGATATAACCAGGACGCTGTTGTCGCTGCTTGTTACCAAATATGATGCCAATCAACCACACATAGCATAACTCTCCTCGGTCGCCTTTTAGACCCGAAGAAAGGGCTTCCCGCTCGTCCCCTAACGCTGCTTCATCACCCGCCGCCGCTGTAAAGCGACTCCACGACCTCATTCTCGACTTCGCTAATGCCCTTCTCCTCCTGCATCCCGTAACGCGCTCCGTGACCATTTTCTGGCCGCCAAAACATGTCCCTTGCATACTGGACGTGTTTCTCTTTCACGAGAACGATAAAGGGTCTGCGAAACACGGTCTCCGCCACTTTTTCGTCCATAGGGTGGTGAGGCAGCGGTATAATTTCCTCATCGCCCACCGCCATTTTTCACGTAAACCACGACCTCCCCAACATTCATTCATATCCATCCACCACGGCAATTTGCTCTGGGCCCATTTCACGGCTCCCTTATCGAGCTCGAGATCCCCTTCTTCGGTACCTTCATTGACAACGTTTCCCCGCATTGTTTCTGTTATCAAGAGGAAGCGCAGTCTTGCCCAGCATTCCCGAGATACAATCTCAACTCCACGCCACGATTCTCATTCGGACTACCAGATGTCCCAGAGAACCACCACACATTGCTTTCCCCAGCGGTCTTGACCTCTCGCTTCGTCACGAACGTCTTCCCCGATGACCATTCACATTACTCTAGCAGGTGCTTTTGTCCTGCCGCTGTTCTATGACCTTGTTCCCGATATTCTTGCTCCTTTCTTCGACATACGGCTCCCGTCCACCTTCCTCCCCTACGCCTCTCTCACAAGATACCACCACTCCGACACAGAAGGCTCGGATACTCCAGCTATGTGCTGAAATGGGCACGAATCCGTTCTATCTTTGCTTTCGACGGGCACAGGTCGACCCAGTACAAATTCTCCCGCCCAAACTTTCGAGCGCGAGCGAAGGACTTCCCCGATAACAAATTGCACTCTTATCTCACACGCGCTCGTCTTAAGATGAGTTTGTTGGCCAAATTCGAATCTCAAGATGCTTTTCCTCATCTTTCTCTCGATATATCGCTATATCTCGCGCTCTTTCAAGATCTACCTCCAAACCTTCTCTCGCGCATCTTTCGTGTCATCCACGCGTGAGATGACTGCATGTCCAGGGAAAATCATCGTCGTTACCCCCCTTCGTCGACAACTGCGCCGAAACAAGCAATTTGGCGTCCCCTCCTCTTTATTCATTATCACTATCGACTCCTTTAACGGCAATACTCTGCCGTGTTCCCCGCCAGAGCCCACGAACGAGATCATGGCCCCATTGCGAATTTACTTCCTGGGCCCGGCCACGAGCACTGTCTTGACTCTTCCGCACGATCCGAGGTTGTTCAATCGGTCGGGAAGAAAACCCAAAAGCACCATTTTGCCGGATGATGGAGCGAAGCTTAGCCAGAGAGCCATATTGCCAACAACGCCATGGCAGCGCAATGTTTTGTCCCTATCTCCGATGACGAACGCTGGCGGACATAAATTTTCTTGCGTAGCAGGGCTTCTACCCCATATATATATTTACTTCTGCTCTTTCCTTTGCGCGATACCTACACTGATTTCCATCTTGCAGTACACAGATATTTCGGATTAGTTCTCTAAAGATAGAGCACTTTATTTCCCAGTACTTGACACATACAGTACAGTACCATTTGTTGTGTCTGCGCTCCAAGTGTCGAACCTATGTTCTCGGCGAAGAAAGAAGGTGAATGTGTAAATGAGCATAATGAACCGTTGTCGGCGTTGCTGAGGAAAGCGCCCATTAAAAACGACGGCCCTGGGCCCAAAAAGGAAATCTCTTCTTCTTCTTTTCCGTCATGTAGACTGTCACTCGAGCACTTCTACTCAGTCGACAGAAGACGCACAACGACTCGATGGAGCTTAAGACAAAGGGGAGACGCCGATGGCGTGGCGCATGGGTGGATTTGGAAACTGGGAGGTGAACTGCAGGGTCGAGCGGAGCAGAAGGATGCGGCGGAGCACGATGCATTGTGGGGCTTCGCCTCTCATAACTCGCCCTACTCGCTACACGGTACGTTTCCGAATGGCTGGCCCGCGCCAGGTCGAAACGTCGTCACGTTGGCTGAGAGAACCCCAGAGAAGCATCAGCGCGGGGAGAACGAGAACAGTCTACCGACCATTCGAATGGATCTGTGAACTGGGAAAACCTCGAAAAGAGATTTAGGGCGTCAGCGGTGTGGTTTCTCTCTAGTCTTCCCGTCCCGATGCTCATTTCTAGGAAGGGAGACGAAAACGGCACCTGCGTTCCATCTTGTATCTCTCGGGCACAAGCTTTCCACCAACGCTGCGCAAGCCATCTTGCTCGTTTCCTAAGACATCCGAGCCCGCAGAACGGCAATGTCATGGCTTATCGTCGAATATGGCGCTAACATGCTCAGCGCGGATTTCGTCTCTCGTCCGCCTTCAAATCCTTCAAGAACAGCTTTTCGCGCATGTTCTAGCGCTACTCCATCTCCCGCCGCTGCATCAGAGAGATTTCGAAACCTTGTTTTCAAGGTCGCCATAGCCCTCCTCCTCACACATACACCAACCCGGTCTGTTGCCACCCTGTGGCCATCGGACTATAAACGAAGCCTATCCGAAGCTCTCGCATATGAATTCGACGATGAAATGCTCAAAACATATCCTCGCGACTACTTTTCATCGACAATACCGTCCAGCTGGCCTCGATCGCTTTCCCCGTCACTCTGGGGCCTTCAGTTCGGAACAAGCGTTTTTCCCGAGTATATCTTCTATGATTCTACTATGCGCTTCGGCTTCGGAACCATTCGTAGCCCCCCGTTGCTGGCGCCCCCATCCTTTTCTTTGCACGTGTACTTAGTGCATCTTCCCCCGCCTCTATTATCGCAGCAGGCTCTTAATGCGAGCATCCATTGGAGTATACATAACAAATCTGACCGCCCCCTGCTTCCTCGGACACCACCACTCTCGCTTCCTCTTCGCAATGACGCCAACTGCACCAACACGACTATATACGCTTCGACAGCTCCTTGCGACGCTAACACAATTTCCCCGATATAATATATGGTCGCGTCATCATGCGCCACAGTCGCGGCGCAATTGTGCGGACCCGTTACAAACCTCATTCATCTCTTCCCTCTCCCCTCGACCATATCACCACATCTGCGGCTCCTCTGGCTTTCATACTCTCCTTTGCGCCCAATCTCAGTCGCCAGTTCCTCAATCGACGAAAATGGAGTCAGAAATTGGCGTCATGGCCTCTGATTGCGCATAAAGTCGCGGAAATAGTATATGCGACTTCCCGCTGCTCTCCTCCTGATATGGAACCCACCAACGGCTTTCCCGACACCCTATGATGCTCTGTAACCGCCCGCCTGCGTTTTAGAGTCGTATTATAGGCCCCTTCGAAAGGTCATCGATCCCCTCCCTGCATACTTGTCATCATTCAGCCCCGTTTCCACATCGAGAAATCCTCCCTCGCGTTAACGCTTTCTTTTCTACCCGCAAGGACTAGGTCTCAAGAACCCTGCTTGCTGGCTTCGCAAAAGACAGCATATTTTGCTGTATGGGCCAAGCGACAAGCGCTTTCTCGAATTCGTCCTCCCGAGCTTGAGTGGGCGTTGCGGGTCCTCCAAATCAAGCTATGGAACATATCCTTCAAGTTCGATATCGATTGGATTATGGACGCTACCGTTTTGCTGCGTTTGCTGCTCCTACTCGCTGTCTTGCAACGGTTTGGGTCTGGAGCATATATATATATATATTCTGTGCCCAAGCTCTTCAACAGCAATACTAGTCGACTCCCGCCATCCTTCTCCACTACCTCTGCCACCCCTTCGGGCCCATGCCGCCTCAAGAAACCCTTTCTTCCTTTCCGCGCGTCCGAGAGGCACAGCCACCGAGACGACCAGCCGATTCATAGCTCGTCAAGGGCGGCGCGTTTGGCTTTCGAACTGCCGGTGCTGTTGGAGCATATGAAATCCCTCGTACCGGTGAAATGTTGCTCATGGCGGAGCACAAGACAACAATATCGTTGCCCCTATCTCATCTAAATCGGAACGGGCAATCCGAGGAATAATCTCGTTTGGTGGGCGGGTTGGCATGCTGGCTGTACGACTTGACCTTCATTTGCTTGCAGTGGAACACCTTTCCGTTCTTCCTCTTCTCGCCGTACATATCTCTGCTGCTGGCGGTACCATCTACTCTGGCTGTTCCTGGAACATATTTCTTTCTATCTTACAGTATTATATTTCGGACTGTTATTGCAGAACGCTTGAATATCAATCTTCTGTGCTGGGAACATACCAAGTACAGAGCTTGGCTGCAGCGTAAACCAGTCTAGATTAATTCGAAACTTGGCTACCAGGCGGAAGGCTAGTCAGTGTCCCTATGTGCTCCGCGAGAAAAGGAGATAGATGTATCGCTCCGCACCATTGTTGGTGCGCTCGCGCAGAGGAGGAAAGCGGGCATCGGAAAGGACGGTCGGATCGTCCTCGACCAAAAAAGGAAATCCCTTCTTCCACTTTTCCGTCATGTCGCAACACGGTCTGCCACCCGCTTTGCACCCCGGCACTTCTCTTCAGTCGGCAGAAGACACACAACTACTTGATGGAGCTCAAGAAACGTCGATGACGTGGCGCATGGGTGGATTTGGAAACTGGGAGGTGAACTGCAGGGTCGAATGGGGCAGAAGGGTGTGGCGGAGCACCATGCGCTGGAGCTTCGCGGGCCTCTCATAACCTGCCAGACTCGCTACACGGTGCGTTTCTGACTGGCTGGCCTTACTCGGTGCTGACTGCATATCGCTCTTCTCAGAGACCACCAAGCATTCGGTGTCGCCACTCGTCCAAGAACCACCCCTTTCTTCGTCTTCCCAACGCCCACAGGCAGCAAATAAGGCACGGGTTTACGCTGGGACTGCGCCAAGTTGAAACTTCGTCACTTTGGCGAGCCGAACCCCTGCGCAGCACCTATGCGCACAACGAGAGCAGTCAGTAGACGATTAAAGGGGATCTGTGAGTTGTTAATACCTCTGAAAGAGATTTGGGCTGTCGATGGTACGCTTTCTCCCCTGGGAGTTCTATGGCCACGCTCATTCTTAGGAAGGGAGGCGAAAATGGGAAGCGCTGCGTCCCACCTTGTATATGTCGGGCCCGAAATTCCCGCCGACTCTGCGCGCACCGTCTGGTCCATAGTATCCACATAATATGCGGCCAACATAGCGGCATTCTCATGACATGCTGTCGAATATGGCGCCAACATCCCCAGGACGAATTCCTCCGCTCATCCACCATTAAATTCCTCCAAAGCGGCTTCCCCCACACCTCCCTCATGTTGGTCTATTACCCGCCGCCACACCAGAGCGACTCCATAGCTTGGTTTCCAAGGTCGCCCTAGCCCTCCTCCTCCCGCATACCCATTACGGTCTATCGCCATATCGTCGTGATTATATTGCAACTAGAGCTCATCTAAGGTTCTCGTGGATGGCTGCCCCAATGGAACGCCCATGAAACATCCTCGCAACTGCTTTGCCCCAACAATATCGTCTATCTGGCCTTGATTCGTTTCCCGTTCCTCTAGGCCCTCCGATTCTAAAGCAACGTCTTTCCCGAGAATACTTTTGTATAACGCTATCATGCGCCTTGCCTCAGGGACGAATCGTCACCCCCGTTGCCAACACCACTATCCTCTTCTCCGCACATGTATTTTGGCCTTCTATTGCCATTGCCGATTGGTTTCTCGTCATCGTCAACGAGCACCACCTGCCTTTTACGTGTCATCATCCTCGCTTTCTTTCCGCAATGACGCTAACACTATCAAGACCATTTCTTGGCTTTCGACAACTCCTTGCGACGCCAACACAACTTCCCCGACATCCAGTATGCTCGTTTCATCATGCGCAACGCTCCCAGCGCCACTATACGGACCTGCCGCGGAACCAATTTATCCTCTTCCCCTCCCGCCGACCATATCCCCGCTTTCGAGCTTCATCTGGCTTCCATACCTTCATCTACACTCAATGCGAGTCGCCAGTGCATCATTCAACAACAAAAGCAGGGCCATAAATTGGCGTAGTCGCATCTTGTCTGGCGCGATATTGCTAAAATCGCATATACGGCTTCCTGGGGATCTTCGCTATATGTGTCGCTCACCAGTGCCTTCCCCGTTCTCATACTATGCTCAATAATGACCCGCCTGCGTTTACGAGTGTTTTTATCGGCCCATTCGCAAAGCCACCCATGCCTTCCCCCATCCCCGCATACTCATCACCTTTCGCCCTCGTTTCTACGTCGAGAACTCCTCTCTTCCGGCGACGCTTCCATTCCCTACCAAAACCGCGCTTTTTCAAGCACCATGCGCGCGCGCTTTGAAAACGACATCATGCTTACTGTATGCATGGGCCGAGCAACGAGCGCTGCCGCGAATTCCTCCTCGCGGACTTAACTGGCAGACACAGATACTACAAATCGGGCTCCGGAACGTATCCTTCAAGTTCAAAGTCGATTGGATTGCGGATGGTCCCGTTTTGCCGCGTTTTCTGCTTCCCCTCCTTGTCTGGCGACGGTTTGGGTTTGGAGCATATTCTGGGGCGAAACTCTTCAACAGCAATACTAGTCGACTCATGCCATCCTCCTGCCATACCTCCGCTACGCGTTGAAGCCCATACTGTCTCAGGACTGCGAACGCCTTGCTCCGTTATGGCAGCGGCACAGCCACCGAGACGACCAGTCGATTTGGAGCTCGTCGAGGCTGGCGCGTATGCTCTTGAAGCCGCAGGTGCTGTTGAAGCATACGAAACTCCTTCTACTGTTTTGGTGTCGCTCATGCTTTCTCGTCGTTGTCGACGTCTGGTGGTGGTCGCCGAATCTTGGGGAGGAATCGACAAGATGGGCCTGGAATTGGGAGAACGCCGGGCGGGAGGTGGGGTTGCGCTGGAAGATATGGATGGGGTTGTTGGTAGAGGGATGATTCTACCGGTGCGGCGGTTAAAACCGCGCGAGAGGGTGGTGTATTAGATTCGGATGAATTTCTTGTTGCATTGGGACCAGTACTACTATTGCTTCTTCATGGGTCTACCACGTTTTTTCCTCTACATTCTTACTTCTATCAAACCACACTACATGCCACTACATACAGTCGAAGTCTACATAACCCATAGCCCAGATAACCCATAATGCCCGATAACCCATAGGTTTGGTTGGGAACCGAATGGTCTTTTCGGTTGTAATCCCATCCACATAACCCATAATTCCCTGTAACCCATAGGTTTCTGGGTCCACCGATGGCCATGGGTTATCTAGACTTCGACTGTATCTTCACTTTCTTCCTTGCTTGACATAACAACTCGCTTCAATTGGTCAGTACTTCTTGGTAGTACTAGTACTCGCGCTCTACTATACATAGAGTGCCGCATAGCCATACATAGCTGTCGGATAGCGCAGCCCGAGCAGTGTCGCGGTGAAGGAGATCGGTTGTCGATTCTGAGTCGTCTTCACCGTCCTCGTAGCCGATGACGACATGCATATGATAATGATCGTCGTCGCGAGTCGGTACTTATCGGTATCGTCCGCGGGCGCGCCTGACAGCGTGCGCGAGGCGCTTAGCCAGGCGGTGTCCGGCGGCAACGGCACCCGCCCGCCCGCCGGTGTCCGCTGCTGTGGAGTGGAGTCGCGTGTGACAGCAGCGGGCTGTCGCTCCTCCCTTCCGTCCTGCCACCATCCGCATCCGCATTCACACCACGTACCCGCTTGCCGATCGTCCTTCTCCGCTTACCCGGCGATGTCCGCGCGCGATGTGCAGCAGAAGGGGAAGGGAAGCGTGGGAGGGGCAGGAGCAGGGGCGCCCAAGTCGTGCGTCGCTCGTTCTGGGGGGCGACTTGTCTGATAGCTGACTGCCACGTAGGACGCTGGCGGCGGGTGCCCGCCCCGCGAAGCCGGCTGTCTCTGCGCTCTCTGCTGCCGCCCTGACGAAGTCGGTCCCCGGCACGAATGCCCGCCCTAGCACGAGCACGAGCGGCAGCAAGCGCCTCACGATCCGACTTCCGGCCCACGCATTTGCGCGCACCAACCCGCTGGTTACCCCCGACAAGCGCCTCCCGCCCGAGGCGCAGAAGTTCCTGCGCTGTCTGCACGAGTGCGTTGTCGGTTTGGTGTCTGAGTCCGGGGCGGGGGCTGACGAGAAGACCTAGGATGCTGACGTCGCAGGACGCGGCGGTGGGGTGGTCCAAGAACGGCAAGGAGCTCTTCCTGCTCGATGTGGAGAACATCCTCCCGGTGTTTTTTGGGGGGACGGCCAAGTCGTGGTACCGCCAGATGCATGTGCGTGGCTGTGGCCTCCCCGCTTTATCGCCCCCCGCGTGCTTGCTGATAAGGGCGCTAGGCGTACAACTTCCACCGCAGGGCGCGGCCGGGGAGCAGTGTCGTCGTCTGGAGTGCGTGGGTTCTTCTCTGCGAGTGCGGTGCCTGACGAGAGCGAGCCAGGCCATGCTGACATCAATAGCAAGTCGACGCTGGCGGACTTTCTGAAGCTGCGGAGGCGGGACACGAAGGCGGCGGGCGTGCTGAAGGAGTGGGGCGCGCTGAAGGGCAGAGAGCCCGTGAAAAAGAGGCGGCAGCGGAATAATCCGTGCGTGGATGCTGTGTTCGCTGGTTGTGGCTGACGTTGTGCGATGTAGCAATAAGCCGCCAGATACGGCGGTGGTGCCGCGTTCCCTCCCGAAACATGCGCTTATTAAGAGCGATAATTTCTTGGTGAACCTCTACGCGTGCGTTATCGACTTCTTATTTTTCTCTCGCGCTTTTGTATCGCATTCTCCCCCTGCCAATACCGATCTTTTCCCCGTGCTTGATTACCTTCTCATCTTAACACTTGTCCTTTCGGCGTATACTCGCATTCTTCCTCTGTCCGTAACGCCTCTTTCTCTGTGGGGCATTACCTTGGTTTTCAGCCTTCTTCCATGCTCACATGCATTCTCTGTCCATACTGCCCTCCTTCACCCATTCTTCGTCACCAGCTCACACATCCGCAGCATGGCGGACGACCCAGAGAACGCCGCTACCCTGCTGTGGTCCCCCGCGGGCCACATCGTCGTGCGGGACGCCGACCGGCTGCCGGAGCTGCTGAGCCGCAAGCTGGGGACCGCGCAGGGGTGGTACCCGCAGTTCGAGCGGCACGGCTTTGAGATGACGCCGGTGCGGCTCGACGGGAAGGCGGTGTACGCGTGGCGTAAGTAGTGACTTCGTCTGTTTTTGGGGAGTTTGCTTACGGCGTTTGGGGTAGGGCATCCGGTGCTGGGGCCGGACTACCCGCGCGAGCGGCTGGAGGATGTGATGCCGTTCGAGGCGGCGGTTATGGCGGGTAAGCTGGTCGACTCTACCGGGAGGATGAAGGCTATGGTGACGGGGGAGATGGAGGTCGAAGAGGAGGAGGAGGAGAGCAAGCCGGCTTTACCCGAGGAAGAAGAAGAAATGGAGGCTTTGCCCCCGAAAAGCGGGATGGCGGAGCGGGAAGCGAAGGCGGGTAGCAGCGACGTGGAAATGGTCAGTTTTTTTTTTTATCCTTCGGTGAGATTGTTGACGTCTTTTGTATAGGCTGTGGATGAGCCGCCGCCCGCGTTTATCGAGCCGATGTCGTCGCTGCCGTCTCCCCCGCCGTCGCCGCCGCCCGAGGCCCCGCCGCCGGAACAGTGCTGCGTTGCGTGCGCGGCGACGAGCACGTTCGACTGGATCGACTACCGCGGGAAGATGTATTGTCTGGACTGCGGCCTGCGCGTGCTTGCGGTGAGTCGGCTTTGCCTGTTTTTTTCTTTTGTTTGTGAGGGTGGGAGCTGACTTGGTTTGGTTTGGTCGGGCAGCATGGCGAGGAGGCGGTGTTGGCTTGAGGGGGGGTGGGAAGGTGGCTTTGGGGAGGAGGGGGACAATGCTTCGGATATGAGGACGGGTAGATGTGGTATCTTGCGATGTAGTATGTATGTAGCGCTGTGCTGTACCTACGTTATTAATATTGCTACTACATATCGTATATAAGCGAGTGGCGATTGTAAGAGAGGACATAGTGGGAAGGGTATGAAAATGGAGAGTACTTTGAGTGTGTATGTTAGGGAAGTGGGAGCCATCACTGGCAGGCAAGACAGTCTGCGCGGGAGAAACTTTGAGTATGATATGCAGTGCTTCGGAGAGGACTGTGAATTGGATTCTTCTCCACAGAAGATAGCCGTCTCACTAGTTGCTATTATGGTCCGATTCGAGGCAGGCCAAAGAGCAAGGAGATAATATGAACATTGAACGCGTAATCTGGGTTGAGGGACGGACCTGGGCCGTGAGGCCGTCCTCAGTTATAGTAACAGTAATACGATATAAGCCTGAGTATGGCCGTCACTGCGCTGGTTTTGTGTATTACACTTGCTCCGCCTGAATGTATCCGTCTACATTGATACTACTTGAATTCAAGTTATTGACTGAGTACACCATACTTGTTCTGTCCGTGCTACATGTCCCTCAGCTAGCTCCTCCGGATTCAATCGTCACAGCGTCTGGCCATCGACAACGCTTCCGGGCCCTGCCAACATCGGTTTATACCAGGCCTTCTGTGCTGGATGTCCGTTCGGCATCGAGACCTGCACGTTCGCCGTCCGCTGCAGCGACTGCAAAGCGCGCACATCGTGGGCGGACAGCACAGGCAGTGGGAAGTCGACGACGAGCTGCGTGGGTCCCATGTCTGCGGCAGGGACTCCGGTAGCGTGCGCGTTGGTGGCCCGCATGGCTATGCCCTCGATGAAGGGACGGAGGGATGCAGTGGAGCCCGGCGCGGACGGCAGAATACGGAGCGTGAATGTTTTGAGCTCCCGGATGTTGTGTAAATCGCCCAAGGCGGTGAAACACCGCCGGGCGGCAGGCGGGTCCATGGAGAATGCAGTTACGGTCAGCTGCCGGAGCGGGAGCGGCGCGGCGAGGATGTCGCAGAAGGAGTCGATGCTGCTGCATTCGAGACACAAGGAGGCGATCGCAGGAACCGCATCCTTGACGTGGGCGTAGTTCTTGAGCGCTGCGTGGGGATCTGTGAGGTAGAGTTTTGTGAGAGATGGCAGGAAAAAGACGTGGGGTAAGAGGAGGCTGCTGTTGTCGACCAGTGTCAGGGTTGACAGGCGAGGAATCTTTATCCTGTTATTGACGCCGACCGTGACAGGGTTGGTATAATCGAGCTCCATGTCGTCCACAAGTGCGGGAAGCGTGAGTTCCTCCAACGCAACCAGGTAAGGCAAGATCGCAATGACCTCGGTGATCAGTGGTTTGTCGCGGCCGCCAATAATCGTGAGTTTCCGCAACTGATGCGCCGGGAAGGAGAACAGCTGAAGATGAGGTGGGGAACGGATAGCCAACTCGCGAAGACGAGGTGCGTCTTGGAACAAGGGCAGGCGGGGCAGCTCATACCCCTGCGGAGTCCACACATCGAAAGTGAGGGTTTTTAGATGGGGCAAGTTGAGTGCCGTCCCAGTCGCGGATGGCCCGCCATTTCTGTCCTGGTAGACCCAGGGATCGAATGCCAATGGGGCAGTGTACCGAGAGGATGCCGCGGCAGCTTCAGAAAAGCTTGCTTCAGCCCATTGGCTTGCGGAAGAAAACACCGAGTAAGGGAACTCATCCACGCTGTATTTGTCCGAGACACACAGCTCGAAGCTGATGGGGTGCCCTTGGGTGCGCTCCAGAAAGTGCTCGAAGAGTGGATCGGGCACATCCGGGGCCTCGAGAAAGCGGCATGCCTTCGTCCACAAGCGCGGATCGGCGATCGCCAGCTGACGCCAGCGGTGGCAAACGGCGGTTATCAGCAATTGCGTGAGGGTGATTTCGTGCCCGACTGAAGAAGACACCGCAGCCGCAAATATCTTGCAGAGGATTTCGGCGGGGAGAGTCTGTACAGGGTATATTGTGGTAGAAAGCGCGTGTTGGATCATGGCGAGACGGTCTTGGAAGCGCGCAAGCCGGTCTTCAACCTCGTCGATGGCTTTCTCGAGATGGTCTGCCTCTTTCCGGAGCAGATGAGTGGTGGCGGCGTTCGGAGCGCTTGGCAGTTGCCCAGTGCTGCGAAGAGACGCGAGAGCCTGGATGTGGCCGTAGTCGGAGACGTTGTCCATGTGAGAATGAGTAGAGTTTGTGTCAATGCCCACGATGATCGTCACGCATCGCCGTTCTTGCCTCTTCCACTCATCATGACCTTCCACATGCTCTTCCATTTCCCACTGCGCCCTCCCCGGGTCCCTCAGGGCCTTGTCAGCCCCTCCCAGCACTATCATATGAGCTCCTCATCGTCTATTGGATGAGCCACACGTCGTTATCACCTGCCACGTCGACACCCACCATCCCGCCGTCTTTAACGAGCATCACGACGCGGAAGCAGGACCAGGGTGTATGGAGGATGCATGGCTGCATCGTTAGGAAGCGCTAGCAAGGGAGAGCCAACAGGTAAGCCCGCTCGCTGACTGATTCGTATTGTGCTGACCTGCTTTGCAGCTTCCCTCAACCGCGCAGCAGCAGTCCTTCCCGTCGAACTATAACAGGACGTTGGCGACTTGGAGCTGACACAGGAGGAAGCGGGCACGTACAGAGGGTGACGAGAGCGCGACAGCCAACAAGGTGCGTTATACGCTTGTCCCTCGCGCTGGTGATACCTGTGTTTGCAGCTATATTAGTTCCACGGCCTTCAAATCCCATTCGCTTTTCCCTTCCGCTTGCCACGCTCATCGACAAGCTCATCGAAGTCATCCTATTTGCGTTGTCGTTTGACACGAAGGTGGAGGAAGGTTCCTGAGCCTGTGTCGGCCATACGGTAGTCTAGCGTCCCCTTCCGATGCGTTGGTGGGCCATCTCGCGGACTGGACCTCTTTCCGCTTCACAGGGCTCCAGGACATCGCCTTCACTTTACCGGTCTGCGTTTTTCGTTTCGAGGGGAGGCCGAGCAGGAGGTGGAGATATTTCTGGTCTGGGGCCGACTCTGGGCTAATGAGTTATGGTGAGAGCCTTGCCAACATTTCGGACAGCCCGTACCGACGCGGCTTCAGATGTCGCGCTTTACGTCCTCAATGTCCATACTCCTATCAATCAATATGTCGTCTTTTACCCATCTATCTTGCTGCTGCTCGTCTTCACCGTTCCAACGCTGTTCCCATTCACTTCCTTTGGGCCATCTCTGCACTTTCTCAAGCAGCTGCGCAAACCGCAGTCGACCCCATCTGCTATGTTTATCTCTGTCTCAACGGCAGTCTGAACTTTTTCGCCACACAGAGCTCAATTCGCGCGCGGTCGACAACCGAGTTTCTTTTTCTCTGAGCGCACATTGTCCGCTTAGCACCGTCTCCGATACAGAATCTACATCCCTGTCTGCGAATTATCGTGGCCTCCTGCGTCGCAACCCAAGCAAGGAAACGGGCAGTCAAGTCGTTGGCGATTGTAAGGAGAAGAATGTAGGGCAGCGATGATCAGAACATACCTAGAAGCGACAAGAAAGCAGTAAGCATACGAAAACGACGAGGAAAACACTTGCCTCGAAAACCAATATCAGGGCAGCACAATACTGTATTGTCCACACATCAATGACGACCCTATCACCGCGCCAAAGTTCCCAACCAGGGCAGAGGAAGCCACCGTTGTCGAAGCAGAGATGGTCAACGATGCATATGGTGGCCTAATCTTCGTCGAGTTGCGGCGGGCGTGGGGCGTTCTCGCTATGCATTATCATACACATGTCGTCATCGGCTACGAGGACGATAACTCAGGAGCCATAGAACCAATCTCGCTGGGCACAACCTCTCCAACAGCTTATCATGTATATGTAGGGCTATTGGGTATTGGTATTTTACAGTAGACCGTTCGGACTAGTACCACCAGGAAGTACTGGCCAATATTGAAGCGAGTTATATGTATCTCAAGCAAGGAAGAAAGTGAAGATATGTAGGGGTATGTCGTAGGGTTTAATCAGGGAGGAAAGTGCGAGAAAAAAACTTGGTCGACACCATGAAGAAACAATATGTAGTAGTAGTACTCGTCCCAATGTAACGAGAACCATACCTAAATCCAATTCGACAACATGAGCGACTCCGAGCCCCGCTGGCGAAAGCATCCCTGAAAACATCCTTCTCGCCACATCCAATCACTATCTTCCAGCGCAACTCCACCTCCCGCCCGACGTTCTTCCAATTCCAGGCCAATCTTGTCGATTCCTCCTCCAAGAATGGGCAACCACCACAGACGTTGACGACGATGAAGCACGAGCAACACCAAAACAGTAGAAGGAGTTTCGTATGCTGCAACAGCACCTGCAGCGTCAAGAGCATACGCGCCAACCTCGACGAGCTCCAAATCGGCTGGTCATGTCGGTGGCTGTGCTGCCGCCATCAAGGAAGCAAGGCATTCCCAGTCTTGAGACGGTATGGGCTCCAACGCGTAGCAGAAGTATGGCAGGAGGATGGCAGGGGTCGACTAGTATTGTTGCCGAAGAGTTTCGCCCTAGAATATGCTCCAAACCCAAACCGTCGTCAAACAAGGAGGGGAAGCAGCAAAACGCGGCAAAACGGGACTGCCCGCAACCCAATCGACTTCGAACTGGAAGGATACGTTCCTGAGTTCGATTTAGAGTATCTGCGACCGCTGGTTAAGCCCACGAGGAGTAATTCGAGACAGCGCTTGTCGCCTGGCCCATGCATACAGTAAGCATGATGTCTTTTTCAAAGCCAGCGCGCAGGGTGCTTGAAAAAGCGCGGTTTTGGTGGGGAATGAAAGCGGCGACGGAAGAGAGAGTTGTCAACGTAGAAACGAGGGCGAATTGTGATAAGTATGGGGGGGGATGAGGAGGGCATCGGTGACTTTGCGAATGGGCCCATAAGATCACATATCGACGCAGGCAGGTGATTGCTGAATATGATGTGGTGTCGGGAAAAACTCTGGTGGGCGCCACATAGAGCGGAGACCCGCAGGAAGCCATATACGCTATTTTAGCAATGTCTCGCATGATACGAGACCACCAGGCCGATTTCTTGCCCTGCTCTTCGCTAATGGTGCACTGGTGACTTGCATTATGTGTAACGCGAAGTATAAAGGCCGGAGAAACGCCGAAAGCGGGCATATGGTCGGGGTGAGGGGGAGAGGATAGATGGGCTCCACGACAGGTCCGGATAATTGCGCTGGGACTGTCGCGCACGATAAAACGACCATAGTGGATGTCGGGGAAATGGTGTTGGCGTCGCAAGGACTTGTCAACAGGGAGGGAATGGTCTTGGTGGTGTTGGCGTCGTTGGGGGAAGAAACCGCGGATAATGGTGCGCGAGGAGGTAAGTATTGCTGGTTTATAATGACGCTAGACCAGATATTCCAGTAGAACGCGCCGCGACAATGGAGACGAGGGGAACATGTACCAAGTACATGTGCGAAGAAGAGGATGGTGACTTGAGCAACGGGGTCGACGTTCCTGAGACAAAGCGCATGATAGCGCTATGCAAGATATACTTGAAAAAAGACATTACTTGAGGATTGAAGGCCACAGGATGACGGGAAAACGATTGAGGCCATATGGACGACATTGTCGGTGAAAAAGCGGTCGCTCGGCCACTTGCTAAGCGCTTCGTCGTCGTATCCGTATCTGAGAGGCTTGTATAAGCTCCAGTTACGGTCTGAGGGCGACAAGATGGCGATAGACCGGTTTGGTGTACATATGTGTGAGGAGGAAGGGTATCGCGATCTCAAAAACAAGACTATAAAATCGCTCTTGTGCGACAGCGGGTGATGCAGTAGCACTAGCGCATGTGCGGAAAGACGCTTTTGAAGGAAGAAAAGGCGGACGAGGGGAGGAATCCGTGCCGGGGATGTTGGCGCCATATTCGACGATAAGCCATGACATTGCTTTTCTGCGGTTTTGTATGCTGTGGAGAACAAATAGTATAGTTTGCGCGAAGTCGGTGGAAGGTTAGGGACCGACAGATCCAAGGCGAAACGCAGAACTGGTCGAATTTTGGGCTCCCTTCCTAAGCATGAGCATGGCGACGGAAATACTGGGGAGAAAACGCACCGTTGACGCCCCAAATCTCTTTTCGAGGTTTTCCTAAGTCGAAGATCCATTCGGATGGTCTACCGACCGCTTTCTTTGTACGCGTAGCTGCTGCTTTGTGGTTCTCCCAGCCAAAGTGACGACGTTTCGACATGGCGCGGTCCCAGAGTGTACCCGTACGTCCTCTGCATGCCGTGGGTGTTGGGAAGACGTAGATAGGCGCAGTTTCTGGAGATATAACGACGACGGGTGCGTGGTGGTGTCTGAAAAAACGACGACATGAAGTCAGTATCAAGCAAAGCTAGCCAGTCAGAAGCGCACCGTCTAAAGGGTCTGGCCAGCCGTTGAAAGCCTCCCGAGCCCCAGCGCATCGTGCTGCGCTACGTCCTTCTGCCCCGCTCAACTATGCAGTCCACCTCCCCACTTCCCGATCCGCCCATGCGCCACGTCATTGACGTTCTCCCTTCATCTTGAGCCCTATGGTGTAGCTGGGTGTCGTTTGCCGGCTTAAGAGAAGTCCTAGAGGGAAAAGCGGGTGGCAGACCAGCTTGCGACATGACGGACAAGAAGAAGAAGTGATTTCCTTTTTTAGCCGCAGATGATGTAAATGGCCACTTGCCTCTGGGCGAGAATACCAACAACGGCGAATCGTGCGGAGTCATACAGCGGTCTTTTCTCTTCATTTTACCTGCTTTAAGTTGTTGTTCTCGACTGATGCTGTAGTTGCTTCATAATTCAAGTTGTTGGCGGTCATTGACTCTCAATTTGTGAATTTAATCGATTATCTTGTTTAAGTTTTAACAACTAGTCGTGCACTTTAAGAATCAATGCTCCTCCTTATTCTACATCGATGCAATAAGTACACCATAAGTATTCGGCTACTTATCCATCAGCGAGCTCCTCCGGATTCGTCACACTGTATGCTCATAGACAACGGTACCAGGCCCTGCCAACTCCGAGTCCGAGTCCGGTTTATACCAGGCCTTCCGCGCCAGATATCCATTCGGCATCACGACCTGCACGTTCGTCGTCCGCTGGAGCAACTTCAAGTCGCGCACATCTTGAGAGGACAACACCGGCGGTGGGAAGTCGACGACGAACTGCGTGAGTCCGATGTCTGCAACTCCAGCAGCGCGCGCGTTGTTGGCACGCATGGCAATACCCTCGATGAAAGGACGGAGGGATGTAGTGGAGCTCGGCGCGGACAGAATACGGAGCGTGAGCGTTTTCAGGTCCGGGATGTTTCCAGGATCGCCCAAGGCGGTGAAACACCGCCGAGCGGCAGGTGGGTCCATGTCCAATGCACTCACTGTCAGCTGCCGAAGCGGGAACGGCGAGGCAAGGATGTCGCAGAAGGAGTCGATGCTGCTGCATTGGAGACACAAGGAGACGATGGTAGGAATCGCATCCTTGACTTGGATGATGTGGTTCTTGAGCGCGGTGTGGGGCTCTGTGAGGTGGAGGGTTGTGAGAGATGGCAGGAAGACACGGGGCAAGAGGAGGCTGCTGTAGTCGACAAGTGTAAGGGTCGACAGGCGGGTAATCGTTATCCTGTTCTCGCGATCAGCAGTACTCACTGGGTAGATACGATCGAGGCCCATGTCGTCATCAAGCGAAGGAAGCGCGAGGTCCTCCACCACGACCAGGTGACGCAAGATCGCAAAAACCTCGCTGCTCCGTGGTTTTCTGCGGCCGCCCATAATCGTGAGTTTCCGCAACTGATGCGCCGGGAAAGAGAAAAGCGCAAGATGGCTTGGGGAACAGATAGCGAGCTCTCGGAGACGAGGTGCATCCCTGAACAAGGGCAATCGGGGCAAGAAAAATGAGTCTGCAGTCCACACCTCGAAAGTCAGCGTTTCTAGATTTGGCAAGTTAAGTGGCCCTGTGTTCGCTGTCCCCATAGCGAACAGGCTAGTCCGACCTCTGTTATGGTAGGCCAAGAGATCGAGTGTCAATGAGGCACTGCTCCTGGAGGATGCCGCGGCACCTTGAGAAAGGTGTGCGCCGACCCATTGGCTGGCGGAAGAAAATACCAACTCACGGAACTCATCTCCGGCGTTGAATCTATCCGAGACCGACAGCTGGATGCTGATGGGCTGCCCTTGGGTCCGCTCCAGAAAGTGCTCGAAGAGCGGATCGGGCACATCCGGGGCCTGGAGAAAGCAACATGCCTTCGTCCACAAGTGTGGATTGGCGATCGCCAGCTGACGCCAGCGCTGGCAAACGCCGGTTATCAGCAATTGCGTGCGGGTGATTTCGTGCCCTACTGAAGAAGACACCGCAGCCGCAAATATCTGGAGGAGGATTTCGGCGGGGAGGGTATGGACGGGGTAGACGGTGGTAGACAGCGCGTGTTGGATCATGGCGAGACGGTCTTGGAAGCGCGCAAGCTGGTCTTCGAGCTCGTCGATGGCTTTCTCGAGATGTTCTGCCTCTTTCCGGAGGAGATGTATGGTGGCGGCGTTCGGAGAGCTTGGCAGTTGCCCAGTGCTGCGAAGAGACGAGAGAGTCTGAAGGTGGCCGTAGTTGGATACGTTGTCCATGAGAGAATGAATAGAGTTTTTGTCAATGCCCACGATGATCGTCACGCATCGCCGTTCTTGCCTCTTCCGCTCATCACGACCTTCCACATGCTCTTCATTTCCTACTGCTCCCTCCCTGGCCTTGTCAACCGCTCCCATTCATATCATATGTGCTCTTTCATCGGCTTTGGGACGAGCCACATGTCGTTCCCACCTGCCACGTCGACCCCCACCATCCCGCCGTCCTTAACGAGCATCACGACGTGGAGGCCGGACCAGGCTCTATGGAGGAGGCATGGTCTGCGTTGGCAGGAAGCGCTAGCGAAGGAGAGCTAATAGGTAAGCCACCTTGCTTGCCTATTCGTATGGTGCTGACCTCTTTTGCAAGCTTCCGTCAGCCGTGCAGCAGCTGTCCTCCCCGTTGAACTACAGAAGGCCCTCGGTGACTTGCAGCTAACGCAGGATGAAGGGGCACATACGCAGAGGTGACGAGAGCGCGACAGCCCAACAAGGTGCGTTGTCCAGTCTACACTTGTCCCTTGCGTTGACGATAACTGTGTTCACAGCCGTAATAGCTCCACGGCCTTCAAATCCCATTCGTTCTCTCCTTCCGCTTGATACGCTCGACTACACGCTCAACGAAGTCATCCTATTTGCGTTGTTTGAAGCGAAGGTGGAGGAAGGTTTGCGCCTGCGTTGGCCAATGGCCATACGGTGGTATAGCGTCCCCTTCCGATGCGTTGGTGGGCCATCTCGCTGACTGAACCTCTTTCCGCTTCACAGAGTTCGAGGATATTGCCTTCCCTTTGCGGTTCCGCGTTTTTCGTTTCGAGGAGAGGCCGAGAAGGAAGTGGAGATCTTTCTGGTTTGGGCTGCTGAGTTAAGTATGGTGAGAACCTTACCAACATTTCGGACTGCCCGTACTGACTCAGATTCAGATGTCGTGCTTTACGTCCTTCATGTCCATGCCACTATGAATGAATATGTCGTCTTTCCCCCTTCCTTCGCGTTCTTCAGCTTCTGCCGATCCAACGCTGTCCCGCTTCCCATTCACTCCCTCGGAGCCATCTCCACACTTTGAAGGCCCCTCTCAAGCTGCCGCGCAAACTTCAGTCGACACCAACCACTATGATAGTATGATTATCCTCTTTCAACGGCAGCGCTAGCTTTTTTCGCCACACAGCTCAATTCGCGCGCGGTCGAAGCCACATGCTTGGAGAGTTTATTTTTCTCTGAGCGCACATAACCTGGTACAGGGAAGTGTCCGCTTCCGTCATCTGAAGCGAGACAGGCTCTAATCTACGAATTATCGTGGCCTCCTGCAATCGCAACCCTAACGGCAGTAGAGATGCTGTTAGCCCGAGGTTATAATTAGCTGCGGTATCGATATTGCGAATGTATGAATATCCCTGCATACAGCATAACCCAGAGAAAGAGAAGCAGTAGAACGAGGAATAAAAGCGATAGAACGGATGACAGTGCAAAGAGGGATGATAATCGATGGACGATAGAATAACGATACAAGACTGGAGGGCGTCAGCAGGTAGAAACAAGGCGGCATGGACGATTGCGTACACAATCGAAGTCCTTCGCCGTTGGAACGATTGCCCTCCTCGGGAATTGAAGGAACGAAGACCCTCCGGAGCAGCACACCTATAGCGTCGTACTAGTATCCGTGCGTCCGCTCGTCGACCATGGATGAAGGCCAGACCGATGGATCTGGGCCGCACATGTTAGATGCGACAAACTCAGGCCCGGGCTAATCAAAATGGGACCAACCTCCCGCGAATAATCTCGGTCCTCGTCGACGTCTGTACGAGGAAGCAGAACGGCAGCAACTTGACAATCTGCAGGGTACCGGTGAGCATGACGACGACAGTGACACCGGGCACAATGTCAACGGCGGCCTGTAGATGGCAGTCCAAATGACAGCCTGTGTGACAGACCGTATGGCGGACCCAACGGCGGTTCCAACAGCAGCCAAGTTTTCTTTGTGTATCTCTTTGTCTGGAAAAAGCTGAAAGAATGACATTTGAATTTTTAGTCTCAACACTATTTGTGGACTGTATTGACACAATGCTGCTAATCCGCTCTGAAGAGCTGACTCATGTTACGCTATGAGTACTACCAGAAACGCGGAATCGAAAGGATGACGTGCGAAGGAAAAAAAAAATCCATCACCACGTGTTTCTTCCATCACTTTCCTCCTTCGGTCATCACCGCACCGCCCATGCATGCCTCCCTCGTCCGGCGCTCCCTCGGTGGGGCTAGTCCCGCCCAAAATCACCACCCCCACATTCATTGTACCCACCCCCTCCGCTCTGTTGACTGACACGTCACCGTCGGGCGCCTCCGCTGGCCCGCTCGGTCCCCTCGTGTCGTTCTACTCCAAGCTCTTGACAGGCCGCGCGCTGGCGCCGGCAGTAGCGGGAGTCAAGGGGCACTAGTTCAGTGGGAAGAATGCCAGCGCCGAAGCCGGTGCTCATCGGCATACCAGCCTATACACTGGACTACCAACGTGAGTGCGATAGTCCCTCCTCAACGACTGCGATGCTGACCTACTCTGTCTCTCTTTCTCCACCCATCGCTTTATCACTGTTCCACAGTCAATCTCAGTGCATGTGCTGCTATTTCCTGCTTCCCCCCGCTTATCCTTGCTAGAGCACCACAAGAGCAACGCGCATTAGACGTTGTTGTGCCTTGTGCCGTTTTATTCCAACCTCTCAAAGGGTAGTGGCGGGGATCAAGGAGCACCGGTTCAGTGGGCGCTGTCTCCCCTGCGGCCTACTATCGTTGGGCACAGACATCCCCTCCACGCCTCCGCCTTGCTCCACCACACTTTGACGACGAACGACGCTCTACATTCGAATCAAGTGTCCTCTATGTGCAGTCGATGTCCCGTCCCACCCTCCATTCACACAGAAGCGAGCGATACCGTCTGCGGTCAGCAACACATGTGCCCACGGACATCTCGCGAATTACTTCTGGCTCTGCCGCCGTCACCAACCGTACGGAGGACCAGTGACGAGCGTGGCGGCGCATGGTTGAGAGGGTGAAGTAACTTGCAGCGGAGGGGCTTATGCCTCTGCCGGTTATAACTCCGGTATCATTAATTCATTACTATGGTATCATGTCCACGTTGTGTCCACGGTGTGCTTGAACTCAGCGGCATCCCGCTGTTTCACTGCCTCCCCCCTTTTGCGCAGCAGCGCCGTGAAGTTGCTCTCCGACTTGTACCTCTGGCGGTTCGCTGCGGCACATGCCATGGGCATCGCCGTCGCCGGGCAGTTCGCGACGTACACCGCTGGGTCCGCTCGTCACCATACCCGTCGTTGTCTACCGGAACACATATCAGCCGGGAAAAGAGAAGACCGGCTACGCACCCAGTAGATGCACGACCCGCCGCTGGGCGTGTGCGGCGTCCCGTAGGCACACGTGAGCAGCCCGCCGTGGAGGAGCGTGACCTCGGGCAGCGGGCGCCGCCCTCGCTCTTCGGCCGACAGAGGTAGTTGCACGCCGCAGGCCCCGGGCCGAGAACCGCTGTAGTCCCGGCGCACAGAGGCTGCCCGATGCTCTGCGGCGTCGTGCGCGCGCCGTCGCTCTATTATCAGCTCCGGGCACGTGGTTTCGACGTGCAGACGCACCAGGCGGTACTCGCGCGCAGGAGAGCGGGGCTGGCCCAGTAGGGCTCACGCACCACAGACGGCCCGTCGCCGGGTTTGCGGGGTCGATCGCGAGCCACTGGTCCTGCGTGACGCAAACAGTGGATCGCCAGAATGGAAAACAATAACTTTGGGAATTACGTTGTGGATGCTCTTTCCCCGGCACCCCCGCTGCCGCGGCCCCCCAGACGCTCCTATTCCTGCGCAAACGGCCATTATTGGCCTGCCTTTGTCCCCATGATTTCCGACATCCCCCGCGGCCATTTGGCGCCAACCTGCTGTGTTTAATGACGCGCGGATGACTGACATTCAAGTTGCGCATGCCTTTGCCCAGCAAGAAGAGCTTGTCCTTGCGGACCTCATCCCCGACAGCGACGAGCTCGACGGAGACGGCTAGCGGCCAACACCGCTCACCGTTACCACCCTCGCGGGCCTCCGACTTCGTAATGCAGGGAGAGCACTGCCCAAAACTGTTCCCTCGGTTGATGTGAGCATCATCTCAACGGACTCAGGGCAAACTAAGTGGGCCCTCCAGCTGGCCGAGCTCCACGTCCGAAACTAGGTCCTCAATGACTCTATTGAGGTCGCACGATTTCTGTCCGGTGTCTTTCCCGGGGCACAGATCATGTCGGGCCGGTGCACTGCCGTTGAGCGCAACGTTGAGCGACCATTGGGAATCGGCACTGAAATTAATGACAGTCCAATACAACATAATTAGTCAAAGATGACAGCTTGTGTGAAATTCAACAATGTTTTTTTCTCTTTCATGAGGTACGATGTTTCAAAGGCAAAGTACACAAAGAAAGTACAAAGAGGTTGGGACTGCCTGTTCCACTGCCTTGCAAACCGCCGTTGGGTCCGCCGCATGTACTCCCATCTGTCAACCGCCGTTGCCATTGTGCCCGGTGTGAAAAGACAAGAAACACACAAGCTTGAAGCGACTCCGAGATCATTTCATCGCAGTCCTGAGAAACACAGACGCTTCGCCTAAATGGAGACGATCATGTTGCAGAGCTACCGCCTAATTCTTCTCGTCGTTGTCACCATGGTGGATTGCGAACCTCTTGATTACTATATAAATCATTAGTCTTTAACATCAAGGGCCAGGACTCAGGAGAGGTAATAGGATGGAAGGCAATAGAGGAAGTAAAGGAAGTAAAACGTGTCGGAGTTGTCGTCAAGTACGTAAATCTATGTAGGAGTATTACATTGAAGCAGAAAGCCGAAGAATGAGATAAGCCGTAAGCAAGGAATGGAGTATGAATTCTAAGAGAATTCCGAAAACGAGGAAAATGGCGTGGGTAAAACAGATGAGAAGAGCGTCGCTGAAGTCAAGAAGGGCGTGAATACAAACGGAAAGAGTGCCGATGAAGAGTAACGATGAAAATGGGACGGCGCAGCCTGAGGCGAAGGGAGTATCAAGTTGGGAGGACGAATGGGCAAAAAAAGAAGACACTCGGACAATGATGAGAAAGAGTACTCGCCTGAAAGACCTCGAGGACAAGAACATTGTTGACGACTCGAAGCTTTTACCTACATTCTGCCCTCGTCTTCCTCCGATCTCTGACCTCTGCGTCGACAGCTGAAGACCTTCGTAAACAACCATGAGTATTGAGATTTCAACAGCGCTGATAGCGTACCTCCTCGTTGCGCGCAACATTCCCGAAATGGACGCAAGTTACGGGGAGCGCAACAGGACGCGCTCTGTCAAGTGCCTGCAAACAAGTCAGCATGCATCTGCGAAAAAAACTGCGCTGGACTTACCACATCGTGGATGGTATTCGACACTTGGCCTAGAATACAGTCAGTAAGCAAAGGTACTATGAACAAGGAGAAACACACAAGCGACAAGCGACGAGCAAGACCATCGCTGATCCTGCTGCCAGCGTGCTCGCCGACACGACCGTGGTCGGCAGCTCCGTGTCCTCTGCGTTTGCACGCGTTTGCTGAAGAAGAAGTAAGCCCAGCCTTGAGCATCGAAACACAACGCTTACCAGGTAGTCAAGATTGCATTCAAGGCAGCTCTTGAACGAGATTGAGAGCCTAGAGACAGCGGCCTCAACGGCAGTCCAAACGTTGGGCCGGAAGACACTGAACGACAGTCAGTGGCTCAAACCATGGCCTTGCAATGAATATAACTGCACCCACGCTTGCTCATTGGGCGGAGCGTCGACGACTAGCTCGGGAAACGAGCGCGTTGGCGGTGGCAGAAAGAAGGCAAGCACAACTTGAAGCAAGGTAAGATAACGTGGCTATGATCAAGAAAGATATGGTCCTTACCTTTTGCAGTCTTTCAAGGCATCCTGGATGAGCAGCCTCAACGGCCCCACGCAGAACACCAGCGCGGATGGCAAGTCGAAGGACTCGTTAACACGACACCTACATGCGCGCGACGAACAGGCAACGAGCGAAACCATCGCTGGCCTGCTGTGCGTGCCGACACGACCATGGCCGTGAGGTCCGTGTCCTCCATGTTTGCGCGCGTTACTAAAACATCTCAGGAGCAGGTTAGTACGATTGACGAGCAGCGCTCACCGAGTAGTCATGACTGCATTCAAGGTAAGAGAGTGTAGTTATTAATTAGAGAAACATTGTGCTTACTTAGATCGGGCCGGGGCAGTAGGCCGCGACCGGAAAAGGGAACGGCCTCAACGGCACCCAAACCTGAGACCGGAAGCGCAACAATCCCTGCGAAAGACGGTGAGTCGTCTAGCTCGTTAGCAGGCAGTACAGAGAAAAGATAAGTTCGGGCACCATGAAGCGATGTTCTTTGACAACGTCGCCCATGTGAAAGTCAAATCTCCCGGGGGGGGGCTGATATCTTGCGCCGTGGTATTCACTTGCCAGCGGGTGAGTGTTGCCCAGAATGAGTTGCGCGCTATACCATGGTATTTCAGAACCAAAGGCCAAAATACCTGCCTGGGTCGCGTCGCTTTCGTCACGAGCGGAGACGCTGGCCCGAAACGTCCCTTCCAAATATTTGTCGTCGTCGGCAGCCCCGCTGGGCGGCTCATCCGCAATCGTCGCCTGCATCATTGTTAGCCTTCTTGAGCCGATAGCGCCACAGAGAAAATATAAACAACGGTAATAAAGAGAACGCAATCTGGAGTTGTAATGAAAGGGTGTGGCGAGAAGACAAGGGATGGTACCGTCAAAGATGTAGAAACGACGAGCGAGATGAGTTATAAGAGATAAACGTGGATGGCATCGAAGTAAAGGGAATTTATAGTACTAGTCGCGAAAATCATAGCAGATGTATTTGTCGTCAAACGGGAAAGTCGTAGGTTGATGTATATGAAAAGGATAACCGAAATAAGAGAGCGAAAAGAGAAGAATTGGAAAGAAAAGACGATGAAGCTTGCCTCCGGACCCGTCCGAGTCTTCAATCATAGTGGCGTACGAATGACGATCAAGACAACGACATAATGGCCGCCGAGATCTGAGCGAAAGCAAGGATGCCAGGGGAGACACAGGCACTCTTCGTTACTAGTAAGCCAGGGACGATAACTTTCCCAAGTTGCGACATCCTTTTCTCGAGATGGGTCGCTGACAGCTCGACGCGGCGTAGACGAGAGGGACGGCGCGGCAGGTGAGGCCGCGGAGCTTCGAAGCCGAAAGGCGAGTGGCTGTAAGGGGACAAGCGAGGGTGTTGGGCCGGGAATGCGAAATTGAAGTGAGTCGAGGGATGGCGCGGAAGGGTCGTGTTGGCGGAGAGATGTTGCGTTAGATCCGAATGAGATGGCGATAGGACCATGCGGATATTCAAAAGAGACGGCGAGAGAGGAGCGGAGAAAAAGCCTGGTTGGCCGTTGTTAGTAGATGGCAAGAGATAGAGACGGGGCAGTATTTGCGCACCATCGAAGCTAAGTATTCATTATGGCGCCCACGCTCCACTTGAAAGCGCCTAGAGCGAAGACCCGGGCAGAGGCCTACAATATCGCGTTCATATCTCCGCTCGCTAGAGCGAGTCCAAACCGAATTGCTAACTTGAAGTATGGCCCGCGATATGAGAAGCAGCCCAAACCAAGGCCAACGCGACCCACATTATCCACTATTGTTTGGAAAGCTTCCTCTGGCCGCGAATTCTGGTTCATTTCCTTCATAGTAGGGACTCGCGAACGACAGGCGGCAAGGTCTTCGAAGAACTTCAATCAACATAACTATTAACGCCACGAATGAAAAGAGAGGAAAAGCGCACATCTGGGCCCGAGAAGACCAAGTTCTCTTCAAATATTATCATCAGCGGCCCTCCCTGATCGCGTCCCTGGCGCGTGCCGACCCATTTCAGAGGGGAACCAACTGTAGTGGAACGATAGTAAGTGGAAAGTTTCAACAAAGCCGCCGAGTCTTCACGAGTAACGCGTTGTGGAGCTCGAGGGCAAGAGATACGCTTCTGTGGTCGTGAAGGGCGTCGACAGTCGGAGCGGGTAGTGGCGAGAAGTAAAGAGTGGCGACATGGGAGTCAAGAAGAGAAGGTTGCCGAGATGTGACACGGACCGTGACGCCGCGTGAAAGAAATTACAGGCCCGAGATCATGAGCGCGTCGTCTCGGAGCGATACGAGGTGAAGCTGCAAGGGCTTCGGAGCCGCAACAGCTCGATGAGGTGTATTCCGCATTCATTAGGATCAGCGACTGGTTCTGCGGCCTGCCAACGAGTTACTTAGCAGACTTGCAGCACTTGCTATAGTAAGTAATACTTCGCAGCGCGATATGGATTCATTCGTTGTAGTTTACATCAAGGGGTTCATTCATGCAGTTAAGCGCGATAGGCTGTATAGAACGCCGAGTGGCTGCACTCAATAGCGCGAGACACCAAGCACGAGTAAGCCACAAGGCCGGTCCGGGCCCAAAACTGTCCGAAACAGGCAACAATAGCGGTTAATGTCGATCTTGCGAGGCATTCAGAAGCCCGGGAGCCTGGCTGAGACGCCTGCAGGCCCCAACTGCCGGCGGTAACCCAACAGCGGGGGCATTTGCTACACGTTTCCGCCACGCTTCCTGCCACCTGCCTACGCCAATCGCGCGCTTCGTGGCGATCGTGAAACCGCCCCAGGGCCCGGGGATGAACGCAGCCCCGCCGAGCCGCGCGCGATCGCGTCGGCGACGCCCATATGCGGCGAGGAACGTGGGTGGCGTCAGTGTGACACGCGTGACGACCCTCTTCCGTCAGCCCACCACCCACCCCAGCCCCGCGGCCGGAACGGATTAGGCCCCCCTGCGGTGCGTGCCCGTGTTGCTTAACCTGTCCCCGGCCCAGCATGCGTGCGCGCATGCCATGCTGGGCCCCCTCTTTGCGCGCGTGTGGAGCTGGCTCGCTGACATCGATCAGATTGCGACGTCGCTGTCTCTGTCGACGGCACCGTCTCCAAGGCCAAGGCCGGCTAGAAACACGAGGGCGGGCGAGGACCGCGACGAGAGAGAGGGAAAGAAGAGGATGGAGAAGGATAATGGACGGACGGTGGGGAAGCGGGCCCAGGCTGGAGGAGCGGGAGGGACGACGGTGAAGCAGGCGAGGCCAGCAAAGACGACGATGACGAATCCCATTTCTACGACGACCACGACGACCACATCCACATCCACCTCTACCCCCGTATCCGCTACGACCCCATCTCCTTCCTCCCCACCGACCTCGCCAATGTCACCTACCAGCGCATCCAAGCTACCGCGCTTCCTCCAGTCCCCCGCCCAGCGCGATCGCTCGCGCAGTCTCTCTATAGACCCGCCACGCCCGTCGTCATCGGCATCCACGTCATCGTCGACCGGCGCCAGACGCAAGTTCCTCGGGATGGGCCGGGACAAGGACAAGGAGCGCGAGAGGGAGCGGATAAGAGAGGCGGAAAGAGGAGACCCGAGCGCCGCAGAGCTGCTGGCGATGGAGGAGGACGAGATGGATTCACCTCAATACGACCCCGGCATGGCGAGCAGCCCGCCCAGCGCCTATGCCACGGCCCGCGCCCGAACCAGGGCAGACAGGCAATTCAGCGCCTCCACCCCTCCCGGCTCGTCGTCTTCACACTCTTCACACTCCCATTCCTCCCATCCACACAGCCCCGCCACGATGCATATCGTCCGCAGCCCCTCGCGCTTATCTGCAAGCGGCGATGGCGGTCTTACAACGAGGCTTAGTGGATGGTTCTCCCATTTGGCGGGCAGCACGTCCGACTTGTCGTTAACGGGCACAATCGGGGCGGCGGCGTCGCTTGCGACATCGACTTCTCGCACACTTTCCTCTTCAGCAAAAAAGCCGCGCAAAAACGAGGGCCAGGCGAGCGCGAAGACCGGCACAGGCGTTGGAGGAGGCGGCGGGCTGCTTGACAAGGCGGTGCGGTACTTGCTCGACGGGGACGCTAACCCGGACAGAAGTACTGCGGAGATTTGGCTGATGGGCGTGCGGATGGAGGGCTGGAGCAGAGAAGACGAGGCGCGTTTTGCGCTTTCGCAACACCACCATTCTTCTCAATCGCCAAACTTATCGGCCTCGCAGTCGACTGTGAGCAACAGCACCACTAACGACGAGCTCGGCCTGCCGGACCCCGGGCCGTGGCCGGCGGCGTTTCACGCTGCGTTTTATGCGCAAGTGTGGTGTACATATCGGGCGGGCTTTCCGGAGCCGATTCGGGACCTTGCGGGCGTGGAGGTGCTGGGAGCGCCATTCTGTGCTCCTCCTAATCCAGCGCATCATCACTTGCCGCCTGGGGTCCGCGCGCCGCCGATGCATTCGCCGACACAGAGCGATGCATCGGCCTCTTCATATGCTTCGTCTTCACCTTCGTCTTCTGCCCATGGGCACCATCATGGTCATGGACACGGGCCGCCGTCTGCCTCGTCGCATTCAACTGCGTCGAGTACCGCAAGTAGTTCGGGGAAGAAGCGCTGGTGGGCGCTGCCGATCTCGCTGGGGAGCTCAAAGGGGTGGTCGTCGGATACGGGATGGGGGTGTATGTTAAGGACGACACAGAGCTTGTTGGCTACTGCGATTGGGCGAGTTGGAGGTGTGTCTTTTACATTCTTTCTTGTTTTTCAAGATACTGATAAATGTTCGTTTTTCTTCAGCGCCTCCACTTCTTCCATGCCCACCTACTCCCTTCCCCCCGAATTCACCTGCTGCCCACGCCGCCCACGCGCGGCTGCTGAGTTGGTTCGCCGATTCGCCAATGGCGCCGTTCAGCGTTCACCGGATGGCGCTCGCGGGGAAGAAGGCGGGGAAAGATGTGGGGATGTGGTTCGGGCCGAGCGCCGCCGGCGTCGCGCTGAGGACTCTGGTGGACGCGTTCCCTGGCTGCGGGCTCGGGGTCGCTGTCGGCCAGGACGGCACGATTTACGCGAGCGATGTGCTCGCGGCTGCGCGTGCCCCGCCGGCGGGCGGGCCGGTGTTAAGGTCTTCTGCGTCGGGCTCGTCGAGGGGAGGCAGTGGGAAGGGGAAGTGGGACCGGCCGGTGTTGGTTCTGCTTGGGCTCAGGCTTGGGCTGGATGGGGTGAATCCGGTCTATCATGAGACGATAAAGGTGTGTTTTTTCCTTCGTTTTGCTTGATATCTTGAGACTTAGAATATTACAAGGCTCTATTCACGTTCCCGCAATCGGTCGGCATCGCCGGCGGGCGGCCGTCCTCGTCGTATTACTTCGTCGGCGTCCAAGGCGATGGGCTGTTCTACCTCGACCCCCACCATACGCGCCCGACTGTGCCGCTCCGCGCTTATGTCGACGATGAGTTCACGTCTTCTACCTCGGGGGCGGGCCCGGGCTACGGCTACGGCCGGGGCGGGAGTATGAGTCCGGAGCGGGGCAATCGGGGCGGGAGCATGAGCCCCGAGCTGGTGCATCGCGCGGGGAGCATGAGCCCGGACCCGTTCCGCCCGATGACGGAGGACGAGCTCGTGTTCAACCCCCGCGCGCGCCGGTCGCCCCGCCCGCCGGCGTCTCCTGCGGCCGGGCCGGGCACCGCCGGGGCCGGGGCTGGATATGGGAACGGGCCAGGTGCGATGTCGCCGGCGGAGGAGGCGCACTGGGCGCGCGCGTATGCGCTCGCGGACATGCGCACGTACCATTGCGAGCGCGTGAGGAAGATGCCGCTCGCGGGGCTGGACCCGAGTATGCTGATTGGGTTCGTGGTGCGGGATGAGCGGGAGTGGGCGGATTTGAGGAGGCGGGTTGGGGAGGTGAGTCTTTTCGTTTGATCCTCTCGCATCTCATCCGCTTTATTTTCTTTCCTCCGGCTGCTCCTCTTCTCTCGCCTTACGAGCTACCCGTCCACATTTACCTGTCCTTCTCGTTTGGCTATTCATTATCATGCCTTATCTCTTCTTTTTCGCCCACATTTCTGCTTCTCCGTCGCTCTCCTTGCTCTTTCTTTTCATTCCTCTCGTTCTTTACTCATGCTGCGGTCGCTAACACTTTCTCAGTTACCACGCACGATCTTCGCGATCCAAGACGAGCCGCCAAGTTGGGGCGCCGATGACGACGACGAGCTCGAAGGGATATCCGATCCAGAGGAGGAGCCGGTTGCGGAGCTCGATGTCGAGGGCGATAATGATAACGACCTTGAGAACGATAACGACGAGGCCGACGACGGGGACGTGTCGAGTTGGAGCCGGCCGGCGCCCGCATTTGGCAAGCAGCATTTCCACTCGGATTCTGCGTCGACTACGCACTCGCGCTCAACAACAGGCACGGGCACGGGGAGCAGCGCGAGTCAGGGCGATACAGAGGACTCGGAGGGGCCGGTCGGGCCGATGACGCCGCTGCCTGGGGCTGGTTTTGATTTGCGCCGGGCGGGGACGGGCAAGGGCGGCGGGTTCGTGGCGCGGGAAGAGGAGGATGATGAAGACGAAGATGCAGATGGGGATGCGGATGGGGACGACTTTGTTGACGCGGCGAGCGAGATTGTGGACGACCGGGAGGATGATATCGAGGATGATTGGGTGGACCCGGTTTCTTCACCCCCGTCGTCAACGGCCTCTTCCGGGGCGCCGCCGCCAAGCACGAAATCCAAGTCGTCCGCGTCTACTGCGTCTACCGCGACCGACAGCAAACATAAAAGCGCATCAAGCAGCGCGCGCCGGCTGAAGAGCAGCAAGGGGAAGAAGGCGGTGCCCGTGCCGGTCCCGAGCGTGCATTACCCGTTCCCTGGCTCGGGCGAGGACGTTGTTGTTGCGCATGAGCGGGAGCGCGATCGGAACGTGACCGTCGTCGCGCCGAAGGTGAAGGTCCCGCAGCAGCAGCACCATGGCCAGCGCCGCGCGAGGGACGGGGGGAGGACGCAGAGCGGGGGCGTGAGGGGCGTGTTGACGGAGGATTGAGCGGTGTCCCTCGTTCCTCGGTATTTCCTTCTTCTCTTTCTTTCTGTGACTTTGTTTCTTTTCTTTCGCTACATATTTGCAAGTACCACATCTTTTCCGTTTCTTTCTGCGTATATCAATGTCGATACCACTCATGTTTCTTCCTTCTTGGTTCTTATCCGCCTCCGTACATATGTATAGCCGGGCTGTTTGTTCTTGTTCTTTATCCCACTCATCTCATCTCATATCTCATTTCATTTCATATTGTCAATAGCATTGCTTGCATTTTCTGAGATCTTTGCTACTGTAAAGAAAGATTGTAGCGCAAGTACTTGAGCAAAGCGGGAAGGGGTTGCCGACATGACATCTGCTGTATCGAAAGCTACTCGTAGGCGGCCCCACAAGAACCATTTCTAACGAATATTCCCCTCTGGATCGGTCAGCGACTGCGGGGAAGGGTCTTCTGGGCGCAAACGAGGCTGAGCACGATTATGCTGCGCGAGGGCTGCGTGCATCTCGGCTTCGGAGTTGTAGTAGACCAGTGCAGAATGCGGAGACATGGGCAGGAGGGTCATTGAGAGCGCCGCCGGCCCGGGCTGCGGCATGAAAGAACTGTGCATCTCAGCCAGCGTTGTGTCGCCCGGGAGGTTCGAGGCCCGGAGGACCCATGGGCTGGGATTGGGGCCAGCGGCCGCATTCGGAAACCGTTGTACCTGGACAGACTGGTCGCCAGCCTCGTCTATCTTCGGAGCAGGGTGATGGCGAGCCCATGCATCGAGAAACGCTGCGCCGACAGCGGGCGGGAGCTGCTGCCCGTCGTACGCCTTGCGCAGTGGCAGCTCGGGGTCCCCGGGCCAGAGGTCGTGGAGGGAGGCGACTTCGCGCAGGGGCAGTCGTTGCCCGTGGGTGGTGATCCACTGCAGGTCCAGAATCATGGTTATTCGTGACCATACGGGCTCTTCGACGCGGTCCGTGGGGCTTGTGGAGCGCGGCCCGGGCACCGTTGGCGTCTCGGAGTCGAATTCCATCAGCTTTCTGCGTATAGTCAAGTCGTTGGATAAAGCGAGGATGCTCGTGGGTACGTACCGTACCATCTTTGGCTTTTGCTCGGAATCCAGAGAACAGTATAGCTCCGGAGCGTGAGAAGGGCCGGCGGCGGATGCGCCTTCTATCCGCCGCGTCGCTGCCTGAATGGTGCTGCGCAATCCCGAGGCGTGGCTGCATGGCTCTGCCACGGCCCCGCTAGCCAGAGAGGACCGCGGATGCACACCTGTGATCCTGCACGAGTTGCGTCAGAATTTATGGTGCATCGGGAGAGGGAAGGCAGCGTACCGGGCACACCCATGGAGCTGTCGCGAATTTCGGTCGAGGAATAGCGCAAATACTTCGGTCCCGACGTCGAGCGCCCGCGCCAGCCTGTTCCGCAGCCGGGCAGCGCGGAGAGCGTCCGCGGCTTGCAGCATTCCGTCCGGGACGGCGGGCTCGGGGCCGTCAGCGGCCGGGAAGCGCCATTTGCCGGTGAGACGGCTCGCGTGGAGGCTTTCCTGCAGCCATGCGTGTCGTTGTAGGTCGGTGTCAATGGTGAGTGAAAACTTACTGTAGTCCATGTCGTGAAGATGAAGTACCGTGCTGCTCTGTTGACGTCCGAGCCGTTCATGGACTGTCCTCCGGTTGGAGGGCCGTTGGCTCCTGCGACACCGGGCTGGTCGGATGCCAGTGCAGGGGACACGGAGGCGAGCTGCGCTCCATGGGCGGGGTCGATGGCTCCGACAGACATGGTGGTGAGTCACTGTGGTGGGAGGAAGAGACAAGCCTAGCCCCATGGTAACCACAGCATTCCAGCGCGCGGCTTCTTCACAGCTTCTAGCGCGCGCATCATGCTTGGGAAGGACACAGTGATATAGTCAAAAATAGAGGCAATGATGGGCGGCGGAGTTTGTCTTGCACTCTTGTCGCATGTAACGCGCGGGATAGTCGGTTTGCAGTAGGATTCTAGTACTATTCCGCCCCGCCATCACGTCTCTGGCCGGGCTCCACCACCAGACAATTGTCTGCGGGCAGAGCACCTGTCACCGGACAATTGTCTGCGCGCAGGCGCCGATCGCCGAAGCGGAAGTGATCGATTATTTATATATCATATGCAATATATTCACATCTCCCGCGGGCAGGAGCTCCCCCCGCACCGCGATGCACGCCAGGTGGTGCCGGCTGCGCAGCCACTTCTTCTGCAAGTGGTGCCCGAGATCACCGGCTGCGCAGCCACATCTCCCGCGGGCAGGTGCTCCCCCCGCGAACATTTCTGGCGCCGGTCTAGCCCGGCCTCCACTCCGGCTTCTCACGCCACCCTTCTTGCTTCTCAACCACCACCACGGGCGACGACGAGCGCGTAGCGGCGCGTAGAAGGGCGGGATAGCGAGGGGAGGATGTCGGGAAGGCGGGAGGAGAAGGTAGAGGGCGGGCTGGGGTGCCGGAAAAAGGCAGGTGAGTGGCCAAATCCGGGGAGTGGGTGCCAACTCACCCAAACTTGTCCGGGACCTCCAGGCCCCAATTCTTCACCGTTCCGCCCCATATTCGGAGCAGCGCAAGGGACACATCCCGCCCCCAATTCGCGTGCATCACCGAGCCCGCCGCTGCCGCCGTTCTCGCGCCTCGCCCGCCCCAATTCCCTCAAAAGGCAATATTTTGTCTTGCGCACCCCGCGCTTGTTTCTACACCAAATCCCACCAAACTCTACCAACATTCTCGCCTCCCCCTACGTTCCCAACGACGTGAAAACCGCGGGCAACGACCGCCGCGTTCCCGCCCGCCCGCGCCTTGCTACTCCCCGCCCTCCCTCGTTTACCCCGCCCCAGCCAGCTCGCCGTTTCGCGCCAAAACTCAGCGTTCGGCACGCCTGGGGTACCCGCCCAGCCCCTGAAAATCTCAGCCCGAACGGGGCAGCCCGTTGGCTCCCCGGCGCCCCGCCCGCCACTTCCACCTACCTCCCGGCCAGGCCTCGGTCGTTCTCGGCCAATTCTGGCCCGCTCGGCCCCAGATTCGACAAGCGAGCTTGCCTAGCCCCCCTCCACATTCCCGCCAGCTCCGGCGTCCCAACTCCGCCGCGTTCCCGCCCCTCGTGCCGCGCCCTCCCGCCCAGCGCATCAGCCGATGTGTGACGGGGCGTTACGCGTCGGCCTCGGGAAGCGGGCGCTGGATTTGGGCCTGGTGACGTCAGCTGGTGACGCGTTTACACCTCGATCGAGCGCGGCGTCGTTCTCCGGCGCAACTTCCCCGGTCTCACCCTTCCCCCGCCTCCCAGTCCCTCCCGCCCCCAATTCCCGCCCGTTTCCCTTCAAACTGGGAATTCGGGCTCGCCTAGCGTGTCCCCACACCCCGCCGCACGACCGCGCCGCCCATCGCGCCCTCCCGCCCACTGCCACCCGCCCCTCCCGCCCAGCGCGTCGGCCGACGTGTGACGGGGTGTTACGCGTCGGGCTCGGGACGCGGGCGCGGGACCTGGGCAGGGTGACGTCACCTGCTGACGCGCGCTCGACCCGATCGGGCACGTTGGCGCTCCTCGGCGCACCATCCCCCATTTTCCCCTTCCCCCACCTCCCGGCCCCTGCCGTGACCATTTCCGGCCCGTTCCCCGCCAGAACGGGAATCTGGGCTCGCCGACATGATCCCCACGCCCCGCCGCAGCACCGGTCCGCCACTCGGGCCCCTCCCGCCCACCGCCGCCCGCCCTCGCGCCAGTCGCGTGGGCCGATGCCGAGCGAGTTCTTACTCGTTCGACTTGCGGTCGTGCGGGGAGATTCGGACAAGGTGGGGCTACACGCGCCCACGTTATCGGCCCGCCGCGCTCGCAGCTCAGCCCCACCCGCTCCCGCCTCTGTTTGGCCATGCCCTCCCCCTCCCGCCCTCTCCCGAGCCCAAACCCAGCCCGTTCCACACCAAGCTGGGCAAGCGAGCTCGGGCGATCCTCCACCACAGTCTGGCCCCCTCGCGCCACCCCCGCCGCTTATCGTTCCCACCTCTCGGGGCCTGCCCTCCCACCAGTCATGTCGGCCAACGTGAGGGTCGGAGCGCGCAGTTGGAACCCGAGTTCTCGCTCAGCCCCAAGCCTCCCGCTCGTTGCCTCCCGTAAACCCCGCTTCCTGATGATGGTTCAGAGAAGTTAGTAGGATACCTATGTCATATTAATGTAGTACTACGGCTTCAATCAAACGCTATAGTGCTTGTTGAACTAAATTGCAGCATTCATTGGTTCGAACCTGATGAAGGTGTGTGTAGGTCAACGACGGACTTTTTATTGTATGCGTGAACATACAGCTAGCAGTCAGATCAAACTCGGCCGGGATATATTTGAGCGCGAGCATGGTAGCTTTTTTACCACAGTACTAGCGTTGTGCTCCTATCAAAGCGAATGCGTCGGGCCGTTGCCGACGATGGCTGCAGCATTCGGCCCGCTCTCGGCTTCGTTTGTGGGTCTCGGGAAAGGTTCTGTGCATGTTCAGAGGCCAAACGAGCACAAGCCGGGCAGTTGCAGCCAGTCGAGCCACCAGTCGCTGGTCACAAACGTCAACGGCAACGAAACCGTATCTCGCCGCCGGTCTCCCGCTCACCAACCACCCCTCGCTCCCTTATCTACCACCGCCCTCCTGCGCATCATGCCACGCGCCGACCCTCTCCGCATCAACCGCCGCCCCGACAAGCGAGAGGGCAGCGGGAACATCTACGTCATCGAGGTCCCGGGGACCGCGCCTGGCCAGCCGCGCGCGATTAAGATCGGGCACTCCGTCGACGCCGAACGACGCTTCAAACAACATTGTCAAACCTGCGTCGGTGTCGACTACAAGTTATTATTTGTCTACTGGGCCGCGAAACGTATCCATCTCGGTACGTCTTTTTCTTTTTTCTTCTATCTACTGACGGGGTGGGAAGAACGTGTCGAGCATGACGCGTTCGACCACGTCCATGGCGCGTGGCTCCGACGCGTACGATGCCGCGGCTGCGGTCGAAATCACACGGAGTTCTTTGATGGAATGATATGTGGGACGGATGTGGAGATTCAGCAGAAGGTGGAGGCGGCGATGACAGCAGCGAACATTCCTATTATACAATGCTGATATAACTACTATACGCACAAGCGACAATTGTCGCATAGATCTTTTGACAAGCGAAGATGACGTCATCTCACCCGCAACATGCATACCACTAAGCCTTGAAATGGCCCCATTGGTGCAGTGGTTGTAAGGCAAGATGTATGGGTTAACTGGGTTCGAACCCAGCAAGGTGCTCTCCATTAGCATGACCGGGATCAAAATATTTTACATGAACAAGGTCAGTCTTCGTCCAAGTATATCATTGTATACATTGTCAGGCAAGGCAACATAATTTTATTTTTGACAATACCGACATGATATAGGTGAGTAGTCAAGCCCTACCAGTGATGCAAGCATCGTCTCAAGATGTGTGGATCAACCAGGTTCAAACCTAGCAAGGTGATGCATGTTTGTTACCTCGCTTTTTCTGTACCACAACAGAATAATATTTCGGTGATGAATTCGGTGTAGAGCAAGTGCAGAAATGGCAACTGGGGAGTCGATTCTAGTATCCCACTAATGACCTCGTGGCGTGCATCAACTCCAGCAGGGGTCTTTCTCCTCTACTTCCAACCAATTTTATTTTTGACAATACTGATGTCATCCCCACATGACGTGGGTGAGATTACACCAAACCGATAATTTTAATCAGTCAAGGCTTGAATTGGCTCCACCATTAACGTTAACCTAGTTTTCTAAATCTCAAATATGGCTCCTAGTACTATTCCGCCCCGCCATCACGTCTCTGGCCGGGCTCCACCACCAGACAATTGTCTGCGGGCAGAGCACCTGTCACCGGACAATTGTCTGCGCGCAGGCACCGATCGCCGAAGCGGAAGTGATCGATTATTTATATATCATATGCAATATATTCACATGTTCGCGGGCAGGAGCTCCCCCCGCACCGCGATGCACGCCAGGTGGTGCCGGCTGCGCAGCCACTTCTTCTGCAAGTGGTGCCCGAGATCACCGGCTGCGCAGCCACATCTCCCGCGGGCAGGAGCTCCCCCCGCACCGCGATGCACGCCAGGTGGTGCCGGCTGCGCAGCCACTTCTTCTGCAAGTGGTGCCCGAGATCACCGAGCCCCGGCCCCGTCCAAGTCCTGCGGCCTCCCCCTGCGCCGAATCTTCTGCGGGCAGGAGCTCCCCCCGCACCGCGATGTACGCCAAGTGGTGCCCGAGATCACCGGCTGCGCAGCCACATCTCCCGCGGGCAGGTGCTCCCCCCGCGAACATTTCTGGCGCCGGTCTAGCCCGGCCTCGACTCCGGCTTCTCACGCCGCCTTCTCTCTTCTTCACCACCACCACCGACGACCGCGCGCGCGTACAGGGACGGGGAGCGAGGCTCAGAGGGCAGGGGAGGGGTATGGGGGAAGTGTAGAGGGCGGGAGGAGGGCCGGAAAAGGAAGGTGAGTGCCCAAATCCGGCAAGTGGGTGCCAACTCACCCAAACTTGTCCGGGACCTCCCGGGCCCAATTCTTCGCCGTTCCGCCCCATCTTCGGAGCAGCGCGAGGGACACATCCTGCCCCCAAATCGCGTGCATCACCGAGCCCGCCGCCGCCTCCGTTCCCGCTCGTCGCCCGCCCCCAATTCCCAAAAAAGGCAGAATTTTGTCTTGCCCACCCCGCGCTCGTTTCTACACCGAATCCCACCAAACCTTGGCAACGTACTCGCCCTCCCTTACGTTCCCAACCACGCGAAAACCGCGGGCAACGACCGCCCGCGTTCCCGCCCGTCGCGCCTTACTTCCCCCGCCATCCTCCGTTTACCCCGCCCCAACCAGCCCGCCGTTTCGCGCCAAAACGCAGCGTTCGGCACGTCTAGGGTGCCTACGCAATGCCTAAAAAAATCAGCCCGAACGGAGCAGCCGTTGGCTCCCGGCGCCCCGCCCGCCCCAGCTTGCCCCCCTCCAGCCCGGCCTCGATCGTTCACGGCCAATCCCGGCCCGTTCGGCTCCATCTTCGGCAGCCGAGCTCGTTTATCCCCCCTCCACATCCCCGCCAGCTCCGGCGCCCCAACTCCGCCCGCGTTGCCGCTCCTCGTGCCCCGCCCTCCCGCCCATCGCGTCGGCCGACGTGTGACGCAGCGTTACGCGTCGGCCTCGGGAAGCTGGCACAGGACTCGAGCACTGTGACGTCACCTGGTGACGCGTTCGCCGCGCGATCGAGCGCGGCGTTCTTCTCCGGCGCAGCTTCCCCGGTCTCACCTCTCCCCCACCTCCCGCCTTCTCCCGCCGCCAATTCCCGCCCGTTCCCCTTGAAGTTGGGGATTTGAGCTCACCTATGACATCCCTACACGCCGCTGCCTTCCCGTACCGCCAAGCGCGCCCCTCCCGCCCGCTGCCACCCGCCCTCCCGCTCAGCGCGCCAGCCGCCCCTGTGACGCGGCGTTACGCGTCAGGCTTGGGACACGGGCGCGTCATTCGGGCAGGGTGACGTCACCCCGCTGACGCGCGCTCGACCCGATCGGGCGCGTTGGCGCTCCTCATCGCGCCTTCCCTCGTTTCCCCCTTCCTCCACCTCCCGGCCCCCCCCCGCGACCAGTTCCAGCCCGTTCCCCGCCAAACTGGGGAACTGAGCTCGTTTATAGCATCCCTACACGCCGCCGCATCACCGCCCCGACATTCGCGCCTTCCCGCCCACTGCCACCCGCCCCTCCCGCCCAGCGCCGTCGGCCGACGCGTGACGACATGTTACGCGTCGGCCTCGGCAAGCAGGCGCTGGATTCGAGTAAGGTGACGTCAGCCACTGACGTGTTTACAGCCCGATTGAGCCCGGCGTTGTTCTCCGGCACGGCTTCTCCGGTCTCCCCCTTCTCCACCCTCCCGGCTTCTCCCACCGCCAGTTCTGGTCCGTTCCCCTCCAAACTGGGGAATTGGGCTCACGTTTGGACCCCCCACACACCGCAGCAGCACCGGACCGCCAAGCGTGCCCTCTCGGCCGCCGCCACCCAGTGTCGGCTTCTCCTGCCGCCAATTGCCACCCGCTCTGGCCCCAACTCGGCAAGCAATTTCGGCATGCCGGGCAGTTGTCTTGGGAGATTCGGCATGACCTCTTTTACCTGTCAACGACGGCATGGCATAGATATATCATGTACACCGTAAGGCAGCAATCTATTGAGCTCTCGGTACACGAGTCTTGCAGCCAGTTCAATCCCGGTTAAGACTTTGGTGAGATAAAATACACGGCTTCTTTTTTTTTGTTTCGACTGGTTTGATTGGCATTTGGCTACACATTGCGATTACACAGCGGGATTCTACAAAATTATAGGCAGGGCACAGCAGCAACAAGAGCACAGTTAGGAGGAAAGTATCACAGTCAATCGTACTATCCCCGTCATGAGCCACAGCGTAATTAGCGAGACGACGGACACACCTTCTACCGGAAAGCAAAGCTCAGCCAATGTCACGGCATCATCGACCACTTCATCTTCACAACGAAACCTGAATGACTGGTGAACAAAGTGGTATATCAGCAAGCGTAGCACGCACGAGATGTCCCGAGGATGAATGCGCTTTTTTCGAGCCAAAGCTCGTTTGAGGACACGCAGGCGAGCCGAGGGCATAACCATCCAAAGCCCGAGAGCTTTCCCTTTGTCGTCCACCATCTGCAGGAAATAAGCCAAAGCACAGTCGATACCGAGGGCAAACTTGCAGAGATTTGGAGAGTCGGCTCAGCTGTCACCCAGATAATGTCTGGCTAGCTTTTAGCGCGTCCGAGCCAAAAGCGAGTAACGTACCGCCATCGTGCATATTAAGACTGGCCGGGGTGTCGGTTCGCTTTACTGGCCGTCCACAGAACCAGAGGCTACACACATCAGCCAGGGCTCCACGGCATTGGGGACAAGACGTACTGCAGCTGCTTGGGGTCCTCGTCGATTCCTTTGGCATACCGTTTGAGAGCGGACCGGAAGCTTCCGTTGTAAGGATGTGACATTTCACAGTCCCACTTTGGGTAGCACTCTCCCCGTTT